CAAACTGCATCATAGAAACATGCATAGAAATCATAGAAATATGGCAAAACCACTTTAAATTGTTGATACTAAGTGGTAAGGAAGCTTGTCTGACCCAGCCTGACAAGCCCATGTAGAAGTGGACTTGAGTGGAGTCCTCGGGTGTCAGCTGGGCGGGGAACCTTGAGATCTGCCAGCACAGTCCCCTCATTTACAGGCTAGGAAAGGAAAGCACACAGCTGGCCAGGGCCAGTGTCCAGGCCCAGTCCAGGGTTTTTCTCACTGCTCCCTCCCTGAATTTCACTTAGTGGAATCAAGAGATGCTTACACGTGGAACTTTTAGATGTACATTGGCACTTTTATTGGATTCCAAAAGACAAAAGCACTGGGTATTTCTAGCTTGAATTCAGATCCAGACAGTCCTTAAACACGCGAGGCTGAGTGAGCAGATCAAACCAGCAGCCGTGGTGCTGACACACGGGACTAGGTAGGATCGAGGCTTTTCGTTCCGTGTGTTCCATCTTAGGTGATCTTCATTCGGTGGTTTTTGACAGGGGTGGGGGGTAGGAGTGGAAGAGAGGCGTAGTGAAGAAACCTCTCCGAACACACAAACCAGCAGGAAGTTTTCAGAAACCAGAGCCTAGATAGGAGTTCTGCAATATGGAATGAGCACATTCTTTGATAAGGTTTTTCTGTTTAATGCTTTTGTACCACTGTTTGTGCCTGACTTCCAGACTGACTTGTATTTTTTATATAAAACCAGAAGAAAGTCACAAGATTGCCTTTGACAGTGTGCAGTTTCCAATTGAATCTGTTGTTGCTGGAAACTGGTCGCTAGTAAATGTTCCATGTTGAGTGAATGTGTGGTAAACCATCTAGTGATACGTTTGGAGGAACCCATCTGTATCGTCTTAGTGGCTGTGTCCTCAGAAGTTTCTGTCTACTTTGTTTCAGTAGGCATCAAGACATTAATGATTTTCCTTCCTTGGGTTCCTCTACTCAGATGACCTCTCCCTCCCTAGCTAGTGGAGGGACACAGTCTGAACCTAGAGAAGAAAGGGGTGGCCCATGTGGGGGCTTTGGTCAGAGTTGTACCTTGTAGGTCAGTTATTTCATCCACATAGTGACTCCAGGGAGCTGGGGGTGGGACAGGAGCTGTTCCCCAGCAGCATGCCCGCACCAGGGTAGGAACTTATCTATAGTGAACTGATAATTGCTTTATAATTACTTGCAGATGACAGCTCAGGGAAGGCTAAGGTCAGGATTGGGAGACTTGAATTGTTCCTGGATGTGGGAATTGTGTCACTGCTCTTAACTTGCTCAGACTGGGGCAGGTTCTAGGAACTTGAATGAAGAATATCTATTTAAGCCCCCCCTCCCCTGTTTTTTTCTCCAAAAGCCTTGATTTCTGTAGTCAGAAATGGTTTTTGGCATGTTAGGTTGATACTTGTTTCTATAGGAAATACTTGCATGTGGCACTGGGCTTGGTGAGTGACGCTTTCTGAGCTTCACACACTCTCCTATGTCATCTGTCCACCCAGTACTGCATGGGAATTCTTCAGTGTGGCTCTGGGTTTTGTTCCCTGTGCAAAGCCTTCAGTGCTTCTGTTCTTCCATTATACTCCCTACCCCGACCCAACTTTCCCCACCAGAATAAGGAATCTTTTCTTTTCTAGAAACGTATTCTCACAGATGAATTCTCACAAATCTCCTTCTGCTAGCCAAATTGGATTTTTTTCTTCTGTCTTTGTGCCTCCTCTCTCTCCTGCTCCTCGTCCTCACTCCAGACTCCACTTCTGAGGCTCTGTAGGTACCATCTTCATGGACTCTTCCTCTACTCATTTCATACCCCTGTGAAGTACCCTGTGTGCACAAACTGAGCTTTCTCTTGCTTGAACTCTGGTTGGTGTGAGCTCCTTAAAATCAGGGACTGTCATCACAGGCTATTCTGGTGCGTAAGCCTGGTCAGGGAGGAGGCAGAGAAGGCTAAGCAGTAAAGCCCAGGAGAGAACTTTCCAGGCATTTGGACTAAACTGACCATACAGTGCCTGTGCTGAAGTCTCTTAACTGAATTGTTAAGTTGCCTCTTAATGCAGCGTCTCTGCTGTGGGTCATTTAGGCAGGGTAGAAAGATGAAGTCTGGAGTGTCTGAGGAGCCATGGCAAGTCTTAGTAAAAACGTGATTTGGGGAAACATAATACAAATGAACTAGAGATTTCTTTTTTTTTTTTTTTTTTTTTAGAGAGAGAATTTTAATATTTATTTTTCAGTTTTGGGCGGACACAACATCATTGTTTGTATGTGGTGCTGAGGATCGAACCCAGGCCGCACGCATGCCAGGCGAGCGCGCTACCGCTTGAGCCACATCCCAAGCCCCGAACTAGAGATTTCTAATAATGCCACTCATCATTTTATTTCTGTAACAGAATTATTTTTTCTATGTGGTTTGCTTCAGTGGTAGGAAGACTTGAAAATTCCCAAATTTTTACTTCCCTATTAGACAGGCTGGTTCAGCAGAGAGAGAGAGAGTGTGTGTGTGTGTGTGTGTGTGAGAGAGAGAGAGAGAGAAAGAGAGGTATTTATTACATTATTTTGAAAAATAATTATTTGTTTTGTGGATATATATTAGGTACAGCCAAACTGGATATTTCCATTTGGCAAGAAAAGTAGGATTTCTGAAACTCAGGCCTTAACCAATAGGTTGGAAGACAAGACCAATTGAAGTGTTACGAAATGTGTATTTTTGTTGCTTCTGTTGTTTCTCTCTTGGTTCATGTCTCATTCTTTCATGATTTTTAAAATCTTGTGCCTAAAAATTCATTTTGCTTAATTATGAAATAGACATGCATGTTTACATTTATGTAAAATATTTGCTGTATAGAGTTTTTTGTTTATTCTATTAAAAGATCACTATATTTAAATAAAAAATGAAGGTAAGCAATATACATAATGTCTTCATGTTTTTTGTTTCCTTCATAGAATAAGTAATATAAGGTTCTTTTAAGAATTCTTTGTACTTAAAGCCTAGTTGGCTAAATTGATTCCTTTTTAATTTGGTGAATATGAAGTACACTTTCATTTTTTAAAAAGTGTGACATTCAAAACTGAAGGATGAACTTCAGTTTTTAAAAGGCAGAGTTTAAAAGTTCAGGGGGGCAGAATTTGATGGTGATTGAGGAAGAGCCTCCTTCAATCTTTCCCCACCGATATCAAGTTGAACAATGCACTAAACTATTAGCATAAGAGCCAAGAAAATCAGACCATAGTGCCGGCTCTTAGTTTAACAAAACAAAAAGACCATTGAAGAAGACAGGAAAGAAAAAGCTGCCCAGGTCACTCCCGTTGCCTCTTGCTTGAGGGTGGGAGAGAAAATTAAATTCAGGCCCTGCTCTTGAAACCCAGCACTAGGCCCATCATGGTGAAGCTCAATGCTGGGCAAGGCCCTGTGACCCTTACCACCAGGCCAAAACCTGTGAGCTGAACTGGGGGATCTGCTTTAGGCTAGGTGACAGAGATCGACTCCACCACCCCTGTCCCAACTTCAGGCAACAGAGCCCTGAGCTCGACTCCCATCTGCTAGGGAAAAGGCATGAAAGGTAACAGGGTTTTGTCTGAGCTCTGGATTAGCTTTAGGATCTTTAGGCAGGGACCTGTGGTCTGCAGTATACATCCAGGATTAGGCTTCAGCAGTTCCAGCTTGAGTGAGCCTGGAGATCACCTGCCTTCCTAAGACCATGCAGGTCTCTGGCTATGAGACTCAGGTGCCACCCAGCTTAACAGCACCCTTGGTAGCCAAGGGACTACCTCCACCACTGATCCTGCAACCTCAGGCATCTCAGCTGTTACCAGGCTAGTGCTCACAGATGGCACTTAAAACTGCCCCAGCACCAGGCAGAGACCTGCACCCCCGTGGGACAGACTCCTGTTTTGTCCTGCATCACCACTGGCTGTGGTGTGGGCCTTGATATAAACTTGAGGATGCAGGTTCTTTTTTTTTTTTTTGAGAGAGAATTTTAATATATATATATATATATATATATATATATTTTAGTTTTCAGCGGACACAACATCTTTGTTTGTATGTGGTGCTGAGGATCGAACCCGGGCCACACGCATGCCAGGCGAGCGTGCTACCGCTTGAGCCACATCCCCAGCCCCCCTCAGGATCTTATAGCTGTGAGATTCAAGCATGACCAAGCTTAACAGCTTGGGTGACCAAGGTTCTGTTTTTACCAATTAATTTAGTTTATTCTAAGAGTTTGCTTAATTTATTCAAATAATTTAGTGCCCCATAATATGTATAAATTTATTTGTATATTAAATAAAAAAAAATAAAAAAAATTAACAAGCAAAAAGTATGAAGTTCAAAACTGAAGGGTAACTTTAGCAAGCCCCATGGCATCTAAGGCCACTTTACTCAGTCTGGAAAATCAGGCTTAGCTTGGGGTCTGAGAACCAGGCAGGCAAGAGTTAAACTGAATCCCAAACTTATTCTCTAGGCAGTTTAGTACACCAAATTCCTTCTACCTGGAATGTTATCTTTTTCTGTCTCTGTATGTCTCTCTCTCTGGGCCTCCAGTTAACATTCAGCTGGGAGTGAGCCTGCCCTCCAGATTCGCTTCTACACTTACGCTTCAGCAGTACCCAAATCTGCCTTGGGGTCTTGACTCTCCTGCTTGACTATAAATTCCTGGTTGGGAGCAATATACCATATCAACAGAGGAAAAAAAAAAGTATTCCACCAAAGAAAAGCCCAGACTAGAGTGCTTCACTGACCATATTTTTTAATTCTCTATGGTGTCTCCAACGGGTATTCAGTGAGTTTGGACCGAATAAAATTATGAGTTAAGAGAATAGTTTAGGAGCCTTCTGCTACTTGTGGTGCATTGGTACCCATGCTCACAGGTGCAAATAGACCATCTCAGTGAGAAAGTGGTAGTAGATACTGATTACCTGGGGAGCTTTATCCTGCTTAACCATCGCTGCCAAAATGGTATGTCACAGACCGTCCCAAAACACAATGGCTTAAAAATAAGCATTTATTTTGCTCACAAGTTGGTGGATTGCAATTTAGACTGGGCTTAGCTATGTTTTGGTCTTGACTGCAATCGCTGACATGTAATTGACTAAAACAAGCCATGGGGCCAAGGGATGGGAAACACCCTTTTCCCCTGGTTGTTGGAAGAAGTTGTATGTGCATTTTTGTTTGTTTGTTTAGGGGTAAATTTCATTTTAATGGTTTTGGCATCAAATGAGGGAATAAACAGAGCCATTGAGATTCCTGGGTGAATGGGGTATGGTAGGGAAAATGGACCACTTACTTGCATTGGATAAAACTTTTCTCATCAGGTAGCAGAGACTGAGAAATGAAATTCAAATTTATGCCTATCCAAATGTTGAGACAGAGCTTGCTGCAGAGGTGCGAGAGTCTCCTTCAAGGGCAGCAAGAAGTCAAAGCATAGACACTGGTGCAGACGGCAGCCTTTACAATAAGACAAAAAGGAAGCCATACTCTTTTCCAGGAGGCAGAACCAGCTGCCCCCAAAATATTCTGGTTTGGGCAGGAATGAGATTGCTCCAATCTCACTAAGATGAGGACATGACAGCAGAAACTTGGGAAGGTTAGAAAAAGATTTGCTGCTTATTTATTTTAAATGATTTTTAAAATCAACAACAATGTAGCACTGTCTCACTTTAAACCCTTGCTACTCACCGTGTGGTGGGACTAGCAGTGTGTCACCTGGAACTTAGAAATGCAGAACCTCAGGACCCATCCTAGATCCAGAATGAAAATCTGCTTTTCAAGAGGATCCCAGGGTAATCTAATCTGAATGCATCAGTTGGCAAAGCTAAACTTTTTCTCTGCAGAAACTGACATTTCTGTCACAGCTGCTCACTTTCGGTAGGGAGATTGAACGTGCATTTGAAAGCCCCCAAATAAACTTTTCCTTCTTAAAATGTGGAAGTGAGAAGAATTAGGCTATTAAAGCAACCAATCTGTGGTGTCTACATATCCCATATCTCTTTCCCATTGCTCAGGGAGAATTCTTGGAGGTTGGATCTCCAAAGGACCTCCCAGCTCTGGCACTGATGGAAAGTCCCAGTGGGTGGTAGATTTCTACTCATGGTTCCTGCAGATGGCGCCAAATGCAAGCCAATGGTTTCTCTAGGCCCTTCCCTCTATTTGCTGTTCATAGTTTGCTTCCCTCCTATCCTCTCTTGCCCCAAACACTATTCTAGTTATCTATGACTAAGTAACAAAGTACCCCAAGACTTGGTGGGTTAAAACAATTAGTATTCTATTACATGGAATCAGTTGGTTAGAACTGGGACCCAGGTTGGCTAGGCAATTCAGTTCCTTATGGCTTCAACGGAGGTTACTTTGGTACTCAGCAGGCAGATGGGTTGAACTCAGGGCTCCAAGCTGATTTCATTCATGTGTCTGGCACCTGGTTGGGGATGGCTAGAAATAAACTCCTCTGGGACCATCAGCCACACCCTACATAACCTCTACAGCTTGGCCATCTCATGGTAACTGGCCTTCTTCCATACATCGGCTTCCTCCGAAACAGGTGTTCTGAGAAGCTGCTTGGCCTGTTATGACCTAGCCTGGTGTTATGGTTTGGATGTGAGGTGTCCCCCAAAAGCTCATGTGTGAGATAATATAAGGTTTAGAGAAATAATTGGGTTATGACAGCCTTAACCCAATTAGTGAATTAATCATCTGATGGGATTGAGTGGTAACTGAAGGCAGATAGGGGTCTCTATTTGTCTCTGGAGAGTGGAGTCTCTCTCTGCTTCCTGATCACGATGTGAACTGCTTCCCTCTGCCACACTCTTCGGCTATGAAGTTCTGCCTCACCTGGAGCCCTTGGGTATGGAGCCTGCTGTCTATGGACTGAGACCTCTGAAACCACAAGCCCCCAAATAAACTTTCCCTCAAATTTTTTTCTTTCTTTTAGTTGCAGCAGCAAAAAATCCAAGACACCTGGGAAGTCACACAGTGTCACATCCTATCGGTCATAGCAGACCAATAGATTCCAGGGAAGGGGCAATAGTCTCCACTGCTCTAAAGGAGAAGCATCAAAAGCCACCCACCCAAAGCTCCAGGGTTTGTCCCTTGTTCCTTCCATCTCATCTGTCATTGCTCTCAGATGAGCTATCTCCCCCTCAGCAGTGGCTCTTAAATTATAATCCTGGATCAAGCAATATCAGGATTTTCTGGGATCTTGTTAAAAATGCAAATTGTCAGGTCCCACCCTGGATCTACTGAAGCAAAACGGTGATGGGGGGGGGGGTGGACAGTGATGTGACAGGCCCTCCACATGATTCTGATGACCCATAAGGCTGAGGGCCACTTGGTCCCCACTGGTGAACCCCAAGTGATGACCCAAGACTGTGATTTCTGCCTTCAGTGTCCCATCTGAGGTGATCAAGGATGGAGAGTAGCATGCAGGTGGGCCATATGGTGGAGTATGGTATTGTTATGGGCTGGAACACCAAAAGCCCAATCTAGAAGAACTGGGGTGATAGGAGGGAGAGTGATAAGGCAAGCTATGTCCTCATTGGAGAAGCATGTCTGTAATCCCAGCAGCTCGGGAGGCTGAGGCAGGGGGATCATGAGTTCAAACCCAGCCTCAGCAACTTAGCAAGGCCCTAAGCAATTTAGCAAGACCCTGTCTCTAGATAAAATATAAAAAGGGCTGAGGATGTGGCTCAGTGGTTAAGCAGCCTTGGGTTAAAACCCCAGTACCAAAAAAAATAAAATTTAAAAAGTGAGCTCATGTAAGTAGCTTCAAAAGGGAATGAAAAATATCCCCGGGTATTCATAGCCACTAAAATATAATAGTGACACAGATAAAATCTAACACTTCCGAAACAGTTTCTAGGTGTCAGCAATTTATTATAACCTTGGAATATGATACTATGACTCCTAGTTTATAGATAAGAATACAGAGACCCAGAGAAGTTAACTCTGCAAGACAATTAAATTATGGGTCAGTAACAGAACCATGCTTCAAACATAAAAGTGGTATTTGAATCTTCTTCTTTTTTCATAAGCGATACCACACCTTTCTTGACCTATGGCACCCTCTGAGAGTCAGCCTCTCTGAGTGGAGCTGTCAGAATTAATCATGAGCTTACTGGGTGTGAGAAGTCTTCCCAAATATGTGTCCCAAGGGCCTCAGCATTTAATCCTGCCAAAAGGAGAAGCAAAACAGAGACGACCATTCTAATGTAGGGATGTGGAACAAGATGTCTGAACGCCTCATGGTTGTGGTGCGCTTGGGCTGGGCTCTCCCTGTGCAAAAGTACAGGTTAATATTGCCCAGTTGCTATGGCAATGCCAACCAGTGGTCACTCTGAACTCAGACACTGGCTCCCAGGGTTACAGGATTCTGAGCATAGCCAGATAATCACAATGTCTCATCAGCGCTGTGACCTCCAGCCTGCCTGCTTTGCAGAAACTCTCTCACAGATAACCTTTTGATGATAAAACCTGTATAATAAATGTGTGGATCCAGCTCTGGGTCACTGTTTTTCTTAATCTCCCATTGCCCCTCGTGGGTTTCTGGGGGTTCAGCCATGCAGGTCGCAGCCGTAATGGACATTATGTTAATTCAGCATCCCTTCCCTTCTTTTTGTCCCCAATATTCAGTCCAGTAATCATTCCTTCCCCTTGCAGCTTCTGCTTCTTCAGAATATCCAGTGGATAGGCTAAGAGAAATTATAACCTTGGGTGCCATGGGTTCCAGAACCTAGCTGTAATTCCATCAGCAGGTACGTTTTCCTGCCAATTCAGAAAATGAGCATGAGAACCAAAACAGGCCAAGGAAGCACAAGGCAAGATTTACTGGGAACTTCTGGAAAAGAATTTCTTGAGAACCAATGGAATAGAGGTTTTCTGCGGTTATCGTAGGGTTCAGACGTACTCTTGAAATTGCCATAGTCAGCCCATGACCACACACTAAGGATCAGATGAATAGAAGAGATCCAAAAAGCATTGAAGACAGCAGGGCCGTGAAATGGGAGCCTTCATTGAACCATGCTTGATCTCCACCTCTCACTGGGCTTTTAAGTTGTATGAGCCCATCAATACTACCCTGGCATGGCCTCATTTGGTTCCTGACCACTTCTCTGGAGACCGTCCTACATTTTCAGCCATTTTATGTAACAGGCTCAGCCTGAGGGGGTGTTTTAGTCAGCTTTTTTTGCCACTGGGACTAAAGGACCTGACCAGAATGATTGTAAAGGAGGAAGAGTTTATTAGAGGGCTCACAGTTTCAGAGGTCTCAGTCTATGGACAGCCGGCTCCATTCTTTGGGGCTCAAGGTGAGGAAGGACATCATGGCAGAAGAGTGTGGTATGGGGAAGCAGCTCACATGGTGATCAGACAAAACTGAGAGAGAGAGAGATTCCATTGGCCAGATACAAGTACATACCCCAAAGCCAGGCCCCCAGTGAACCACTTCCTCCTGCCACACCCCACCCGCCTCCAGTTCCCACTCAGTTAATTCCATCAGGATCAATTTAGTGATTAGGTTAAGGCTATGACCCAATCATTTCTCCTCCAAATCTTCTTGCATTGTCTCACACATGAGCTTTTGAGGAACACTACATCTAAACCATAACAGGGGGTCCATCACCACTCCTAGGGATTACCCTGTCAGAGCTAGAGGGCGGAGTCCAAATTCACTAGCCATTAAGAGTTGGAAGAACTTTTCTAAAGTCTCTTTCAGGTGTGGAAATTTAAGCTATGAGAAGTAATGTACCCAAAGTTATCTTGGGAAACATTTAACTGGCACAGGTGAGCTCTTGAATGCCTAGCCTATTTACAAGTGCCCCTTTGTGATGCACTTATTTCTGTTCAAGGGGAACCTATTTCCTCCATCACCGAGTTAGCATTTCAAGGACGGGCTGGTGGGGGCCACCTGTCTCCTGTGATCTCTCTCATTTTTCCATTTCAGAATGCCAAAGGCACTGAATTACTATTTTTATATACATTTTTAAACATGTAATTTGGGGGGGCGGGTACCAGGGATTGAACCAAGGGGTACTTAACCACTGAGCCACATCCCCAGCCCCTTTTTTATATTTTATTTAGAGACAGGGTCTTGCTAGTTGCTTAGGGACTCTCTAAGTTTCTGGGGCTGGCTTTGAACTCACAATCCTCCTGTCTCAGCCTCCTGAGCCGCTGGGATTACAGGCGTGCGCCACCGCACTCAGCTAAACATGTAATTTTGAATACTTTTTTTGTCCTGAGACTTTCAAAAACCCTCCCTTGAAATAACTGGAGATAGGCCCACCCCTAATATTTTGGGTTCCAGAGAAGAGCGAAATGAACACCTGTATTCCAAATACCTAAATATTCACATCATAATCAAACAATTATTTAAATTTGTTCTGTTTACCTCAACAAATATACTTTCATAAAGACCATGTATATGGCCTATTTAGATTCTACAGAGTCCCTGACACCATGAAAGCACTAGGAAAGCAGGGGCCAGGCCCCAGCCTGACCTCCCTCACCCATCCACATTGAGAGGGACTTCATGTGCACCCATGGAAACCCCAACCTCCATCTAATCCTTATGAATGGCTTTTCTTTGGCCACTCCTCAGACTTAGAGGTGTGCACTGGCCACACTCAGGAGGACAGACACAGGGAGGAGGCGGGTGCAGGCTCAGGACATCTTGGGCAGGGAATTGTGTTTTCCTGGGAACCTGGAGAGTGTGCAAGCTCTAGCGGGCATGTCACCTTGGCCCCATGGACTCCCCACCCCCTGGGGAGGGTCAGGTCAGAGAAGGTAGGAATGCTGCCCTCCAAGGTGTGGGACCCAGGGCAGGGTCCCTCTTGGCCAGATCTCGGGGTAGTTCTAGATCTCCACCCATGTCAAACAAGGTCCTAAAGCAAGATTAGAGAGAAGCCTGGGCTAGCAAGACTGGACTCTGTGACCTTTGGCAGGTCCTACTACCTCCTCCTGTTGAGCATGAGGAAGCTGGAATGCTTTCATATTCCAGAACCTTCCGTAGAATCCAGGAAGCACAACTGAGTTCGGGCTCTTCATTCTAGCCAGCAATATTGAAATGCTGGCCTCATCCTCCCAAGGAAGAGTGAGCCATGGTGAGGAATCCGCTTGCTTGCTTTCTTTGCTTTTTCTTTCTTTCTCTCTTTCTTATTATTTTTATTTTTTAAATTATTATTGTTGCTGTTTTGGGCACCGGGGATTGAACCCAGGGGTTCAACCACTGAGCCATATCCCCAGCCCTTTTAATTTTTAATTTGAGACAGGGTCTAAGTTGCTTAGGGCCTTGCTAAGTTGCTGATTCTGGTCTCGAACTTGTGATCCTCCTGTCTCAGCCTCCTGACTTGCTGGGATTACCGACATGTGCCACCACACCCGTCATGCCTTTATTTCTTGATCTCTCATCTGGAAGTCCCAGGATGTCCATGCAAGCAACATTCCCCCTCCTCCCCACCCCTAAGACTTGTCCCAGAGACCCAGGGAACTAGCTGATCAATGCTCCTGCCTTGGAGGACACCATCTTTGGGATAATGTCACCACAGACCACCCAGATGACCTGCTGGGCCACAGTTTCTGCTTGCTGAGTCCTTAAGACTCAGGTTCATTGAAAAGCTTTGTACAAAAGCTCAGGGTGTGGGGTGTGTCCCTCCTTCTGGAAATAAGAGGGGAAATCCTGGTGATGTCTTTCCCTGATAAACCCAAGCCCTCTTCAGGAAATACAGCCATGAGAAGTGGCTCACAGACAGGCAGGACTAAGGATTCTATAGAAAAGTGAAGAGTGCAGGCACACAGACAGGAGGACAAGGATGTGCACAATGCAGTTACAAAAGGGGAGTCAAAGGGAACCCCAAGAGTCAGCAGGAAGTGAGGAGATGCACCTCAGGATAGAAACAGCCTGCTGAGAGTGTCCTTGCAATGGGACCCTAGATGGGGAAGGCCAGGACTGTATATGCCTAAGGACACGGAAACACCAACATCTTCCCAGGTGTGTGGAGTTATGGAGTGAGTCTCCTGAACAGGAAATGGAAATGAGGGGCACTCCTTGCAAGACAGAGGTCAAAGTACAGAAAGCCACAAGATCAAGATGGCAGCAGGGATTTTGAAACTCTTAAGAATCCCGCTGTGGGAAACATCAAGAAGAGAGAGGCCACTGCTCTGCTGTTGTTTGCAGGCAAGTGACTCAGCTGAGCCTCCACCCTCTGCTCAGGGCAGTGGGCAGTGCAAAGGTGAGCATGGGTTTTGTGGCCTTCTCAGTACTTTTTCACAGTTGGGTCTCTTCCTGGGGGAGCCATTTCCACATGAAGCTGGGTTGTCCTCTGACCAGATGAAGAGTCCCTGGCGGGGTCCAAAGCTGTGAGCCACATTGAGAGAACATGTCCACTTCACTGCTGTGTGGTTCTCAGGCCTTTGAGAGACCTGACAACTGGCTGCCCAGCTAAGAACACCTGTGTGTCTGGAGGTCCAAGAGACCAAGAAGCCTATACACTAGACTTCCCAAATCAGCTCCCAACAAACTAAAACAGCCCCGCAGGTTTACATGAGTCTAACAATGCTAAGCCAAGTCCACGGCCTGTGCCAATGACAATCCAGAAGAGAAAGGGCATTTTAGCTGGCTCTTAGGCCAGATGGTAGAGGCAGGGAACAGTTCCCAGGGTGGGCATGTAGAAAGTTTTCTGGTACTTTGGATTAAGACAGGATGCAGTGGTCCTAAATTCTTCCAGTCAGACAGAGTCAAAAACACGTCTTAGCAGCGAGAATTCATCCTTGTTTTTGTCACACAAAAGTTGGTGGACACTGGCCCAGGAGAGCGCAAGGCCAACTTGACAGGGGTTGAGGAAGCTGCTGCCAGTTCTGTGGGCTGCAGCCCACCTGTTCCTCACGCCCCTCATGTGAAGTAGCGGCAGGGTGTGGAGTCGATGTAACAGTACTGGGTGCACCGCAGGTCTCCATATGACCTGAGGAAGGCAAAGACACAGGTCAGAGCAGACACGGGACAGTGGGCAGGCAAGCTCCTGCCCAGCTCTGAGAGCAAAGCTGTGTTCTAGAAGGCTACCTCAAAAAGCAGCTCCTTCGCCACTGTACCAAAGGCCAGGGTTTCTATGAAAATATTTCCATTTTTCTTTGGGTTGCAGGGATTGGAGGAGTTGAGTCGGGTCTCTGGACTTTTTTTTTTTTTTGCCTTGAGCCTCATCTGAGCAACTAGGGTGGCAGGACAAGCATCCTCAAGTCCTGAAGGGGTCCCAGTGCCATTCATGAGGCCCATGGTACTGAAGATACACACGTCCAAAATGCCTGTACTGGCCAGATGTGGCTATTGAGTTCTTAAGAGATGGCTGCTGTGACCAAACTGAATTTAAAACTTAATTTGGTACCAGGGATTGACCCCAGAGGTGCTTAACCACTGAACCACATACCCAGCCCTTTATTTTATTTTATTTTTACTGGGGATTGAACTCAGGGGCACTCGATCGCTGAGCCACATCCCCAGTCCTACTTTGTATTTTGTTTAGAGACAGGGTCTCACTGGGTTGCTTAGCGCCTCACTAAGTTGCTGAGGCTGGCTTTGAACTTGAGATCCTCCTGCTTCAGCCTCCCAAACTGCTGGGATTACAGGCGTGCACCATCACGCCCGACCTAATTCTAACTATTTTACACTTGAATAGCCACATTTTTGAGGGATGCCATATTGGACAGGGCAGTCTATACCTCTGTAAAACCAAGTGATGATCCCAACACATTGTCTTATACATGATACATACATTCAGAACCATCCCTCTAAGGCTTCTAGGGATGAGGGAAATAGCCACAGTACCCTGGGCTCTGCTCCACCTGAACTCCATGCCTGAAAGTCTGCATTTTTTTTTTAAGTGGAGGAGGGTACCAGGATTGAACCCAGGGGTGCTTAACCACTGAGCCACATCCACAGCCCTTTTTTTCATTTTATTTAGAGACCAGGCCTTGATGAGTTGCTGAGACTGGCTTTGAACTCGAGATCCTCTTGCATCAGCTTTCCCAGCCTCTGGGATTACAGGCGTTGTGCCACCATGTGCGGCCTTATTGTCTACCCTTAATTGTCTCCATGGAGCCATCAAATAGCTCAGCCCTGCCAATTTTCTGGCAGGTGCCTATTAGAAGCCTTCCTTGTTTCAGGAAGTAGGCATTGTACACAGACACATATTTGTAGTGAGGTCCTGGCCAACGCTTGCAGGCTGGGGGTGACTATAGGTGTGTAATTCCCCTGACCTGGTTGACTATGCTGGTATGTGTTTGGAGGGTGGTGTTAAGGAGACCCCCTTGAAAGAGAGAAGAACGGAGGCAATAGAGAGACAGACATGGTGTCTGTTCCCCAGCCCTGCTGAGGGCCTGAGCCCAAACCTATAAGATGAAAAGGACTGGAGGTAAAAGCTGAAGAGATCGGATTCACAAGGGATCTAAGAAATCTAAGGAAAAGTGGATCCACTCTGGAGCACAGGGAAGACCAGAACGTGGATTGGGGGGGAGGGAATGGTCTCTCTATTTTCTCTAGAACATTCTACAGCTCTGGTTCTGCACCAGAAGGCTACATTCTGGACAGGGAATCAGCACCTCACAGGGCCAGTGGCCCTCAGGTGGCTTGGGAGATGTCAATGTAGAGGCCAAGACACTACTGCACTTGTACTGAGCATTGAGAAAAACTGATGGAGAGTCTCAGAAATAACTATCAGGGTCCTTGAAGGGAATATTTTCTCGGAGGTGCCATAAATTAGCAAAATTAGATATCAATGTTGGCCTGATTTCACTTGGGTGCAAAGGCCTGCACCCAAAGGCAGATTATTCCAGGGAATTTTGGTTGTATTGGTAAGTAGATGCTTGGAAACCCCCTGGCATTTCTACCTTCCATTGGGCTTCCCCCCAAGGCCACTGCCCGCCCAGGAGATGGATGTGGCCATAGTAACCACCAGGGATTACCAGCTGACTTAGGGATTCTCTCTGGACCCAGGATAGAGCTGGTGACTGTGTCTGCCCTGGCTCAGCTTCAGGGCCTGCAGGCTGCTCTGACTGAGAGGAAGTATGGACATTGGGTGCTGATTGCCTGTCTCCCATTGCACAGAAAGCTCCAGGTGACTCGGGACCATGTTCTGTGTTATTCATCGCCTCACCTCCGTGCCTAGAAAGGACCAGAAACATGAGACTCACTTAAAAAATATGTGTGAAGGAAAGGTGGGTGAAGGAGGGGAGGTCAAGGCAGGAGGAAGTTTGTCTTAATAGCACATAAAGCCAGGTGCGGTGGTGCACGCCTGTAATCCCAGCAGCTCTGGAGGCTGAGGCAGGAGGATTGCAAATTCAAAGCCAGGCTCAGCAACTTAGTGAGAGACTAAGCAACTGTCTCTAAATAAAATATTAAAAGGGGTTGGGGGATGTAGCTCAGTGGTAAAGTGTCCCTGGGTTCAATTCCCGGTAAAAACAAACAAAACCAGGGTAAAGCCTTCCCTACCCAGGGAGATAGGTCTCGCATGTCAGGTAGCCAAAGTCGGAGCCGTCACAGTCCTCCACGCCCTCATGCCGGTGACCATCTCCACAGTAGGCCCGGTGACAACCTGAGGGGACACAGGAAGTGTAGCCCTGAGAAAGGGCAGGGTGTGACAGGCTTGCCTCAAAGGTCCCCCCCCCCCCAAAAAAAAAAAGCACTGCAAGGGCTTGAGAACCAATCTGTTCAGAGGCAGAAGGGACTCCAGGCAAAGCCAGCACCCTCGGAGCTGACATCCTGGGGTTGTCAGGGGACAGTGCAGCCACAAGGAGAGACTGGCAGTATCCCCTCCTCTGTACCCGCCCCTGGGTGCACCTTCACCACTCTATGCTGTCGTCCCTCCCCTGAGCTTCCTGAGGGCCAGGACCACAACTTTATATCCTCGTGCCCCAGGTCTGTCCCCAAGCAAACCAAGTCACGAAGGGATTCAATGAATGCCTGCCAGACTCTTACTGCATCTGAATGCCTGCCAGACTCTTACTGCATAGGGACAAACCACGAATACCTCGACTCACAGAATCTCTTAAGGTTTGAACCGTCAGCACCTTATGCCCCTCTCAGCAGAGGAAATGAAGTTGACAGCTGCACGTGGCCCATCATCACTGAGTGTGGCCTCCTCTCTGAGCTCAGGAGCAATCCGAACCTGCATTCAAACTCTGTTCTGCCTTGGAAAACCATGCTAGCTACCTCACACCCTCTTTTGTTGCTTGATTTTAAAAAATAAAGTGAAATAAATAAAAACAAACCCTAGAGTTCCCATGCTCAGGGCCATCCCATAAACCTGACAGTGGCTCTGGATGGCCCAGTTTCCTACTGGAGCTCTGTCCAGGCAAGGGATCCTCTTTTAAATCCATGGCTGACTCCCTAGGACCTCTCACTTCTGCATACAAAGTGAAAGACCACCACCTTTATTTTTATTTTATTTTATTTTCTTATTTTTTGGTACCAGGGATTGAACCCAGGGGTGCTTAACCACTGAGCCACATCCCCAGCCCTATTTTGTATTTTACTTAGAGACAGGGTCACACAGAGTTGCTTAATGCCTTGCTTTTGCAGAGGCTGGCTTTGAACTCACAATCCTCCTGCCTCAGACTCCCCAGCTGCTGGGATTACAGACCTGCACCACCACGCCCAGCTGTACCTTTATCTTTTTGTGGTTTTTGCCAAGGAGTAAGATTGGGAGAAAGCCCGGGGCAAGGAATTCCTCTCTGGGAGCAAGACCTTGATAACACTGAGCTCAGGTAGCAGAAGAATCAACTTTTGGCCTGAAATCAGGAGGGAGGTCCCCGAGGCGGTCCATACAAACCCTCTCTATCTCTAGAATTGTCCCAAACTGCTGCAGCTAGTATCCAGGGCTGGCCTTGACCCCCACCCCATGGCTTTCCTGGTCTCAGGTCCTCCTGGGCGGGGCCCCCACTCACTGATGCAGTCGTCACCCACGTCCTGGTTCCCGTCGTCACACTCCTCCCCAGGCTGCAGAACCCCATCCCCACAGGTGCCACGCTGGTCTATAGTGGAATCCACAGGGTAGAAAGGGGTCAGCTGGCCAAAGAAACACACAACATTAACCATGGGGTGGCACACCCAGGCAGCCATTGGACAGGGAGGTCAGTACACTGGGGACAGATGCTCTGGGTGCAGGGACCATGGCAGGGGCATTCCTTAGCTTCCTCCTGGAGGTGGGGAAGGTCCTCTTCCCGTTGCTTGCCCTGAACTCTGGCAGGTCTAATGAGGTAGCATTCTGGGGGTACAGGGACTGGACAGGATTGGGGGCTCTTGCCTCAGAGCGGAGCTTTGATGGGGAATGGGAAAACACAGAGATGCTCAGGGAAGGACTGTCGTGGAGACAGACTGCAGGAGCTCTGTCTAGGTCCTTCCTTTAATGGATGTTTTACCTGTCCTGAGTTGGGGGTGTCCTGAGGGGTCTGCTTTGGGGTACCTGGATGGGAAGCCAGCCAAGGCTGTCCTTGAAGTACAGAGATCTCTGGTCTCTGCGGAAGGCAATGGCATTCTGAGTGTTCAGCCTCTCGAGTTCCTCCTGGTTGTTGACCACAAAAATCTGCCAGAGAACACACTGGTGAGGATTCCAGGAAACACTTCTCCAGGGGGCCAGGAAGAGCTGGAGGAGCAAACAGAATCTCTGTGCATGGCTGGTTGGCCATGGGAAGGGGGCTGTGCAGCCCGCTGTCGTATTCCTTCTGACTCCGGAGGAATGTCCCATTCCCAATCCAGTTCCTAATGTCTGAGTTTGAAATTAGAATAAATGCCATGATTTAACCTTTTTAGATGTTCCCAAGACTCAGATGAAGAGGTGATGTCCTATATAGTTAAGTAGTTCCACATCTGGAAATGATGCTTAACAAAATGATCATAACCAAAGATGCTCATTGCAGTATTATTTTCATTAGTGAAAAGGTCAGGAGCACCCTATCAGTGGCACTGGTTAAATAAATCACAGCCCAGTGACATGATGGAGGGGTGAGTGTGCATCAATGGATATCCATTCACTTCAAAATGATCCAAGGGGCTGAGTGTGGTGGCGCACGCCTGTAATCCCAGCAGCTCCGGAGGCTGAGGCAGGAGGATGGCGAGTTCAAAGCCAGCCTCAGCAAATTAGTAAGACCCTCAACAACTCAGTGAGACCCTGTCTCTAAATAAAATACAAATAAGGCTGGCGATGGGGCTGAGTGGTTAAGTGCCCCTGGGTTCAATCCCTGGTACAAAAAAAAGTAATTAATAATAAATAATAATAATAATCAACATCATCATCCAAGGGTAGGTATTTGAGAGTAGGTATAAAGAGAAAACAAGGAAATGTGGATGGCCATGAGTTGATCCTTATTTCCTGGGATTCGTTACATTATTTTTTTCTGCTTTTGTATTTATTTGAAATGTTTTATAAGAATGATATTTATATAGAGTATGAAAATGTGGGACTTCAACTGAGAACTAGAGCAGAACATTTTTGTACAATATAATCTGAACCATATCAAAGCTATTTTGTTTGTTTACTTATTTATTGGTGCTGGGTACTGAACCCAGGGGCACTGAACCACTGAGCCACATCCTCAGCCCTTTTTTATTTTTTTTATTTTGAGGCAGGGTCTCACTGAGTGGCATAGGGCCTCACTAGAATGCTGAGGCTGGCTTTGAACTCGCAATCCTCCTGCCTCAGCCTCCTGAGCCACTGTGTCTGGCCTCAAAGCCATTATTTTTTTAAAGCAAAGAAAATACCCCCAAATGGTCCAATAACAAAATGGAAAATATGGTTTTCTTCTTTCGATTTTCTGTTATTTTGTGATTCCCTATGAGTGAGTGCCCAGTGTAATGGAGGAAAAAAAAATTTACTAAAAGGATTTTGCAGGCCCTGAGAGGATCAGGTTCTCATGGATAACCTCCCAGACTTTACCCAGAAGCCTTACCACAGGAACTCGCAGGGAGCTGGGCCCATACATGGATTCCCCGTAGGAAGGGTTATTCACATTCACAGAGGGTCCACAAAGACATCTTCCTGGGGGCCCAGGATATCCTCGCTCCCCTTTGGGTCCCATTACAAGTTGTCCTAGGAAGCAATAGATTGTTATGTTACTAGAGCCAAGAAAGAGAAAACTGAACAACCCAGGAAGATATGAGCAACCTAAACAACAGAAAGGAGGTTGAAATCCAAAGCATTTCAGGGTGGGCCTGAGAGAGAAGTTCAAAGGGATGATTTTGATCCAAGATGCAAAGGAGAAAAAAGGGCTGCTGAGAGATATACCTTCTCTCTTATTCCTGTCTTGAAGACAGACAAGGTAACTTGAAGCAGCCATATTGCAACCATGAAGTAACAAGGATGAGAAGCCAATATACAGGAAAGACAAGGGGCTCTTGGGATCTAGCCCTGACAGTGATACTTAGAGGCTGAACCAAAAGACAGCTACTGTGTAACCAAGGATTTCTTTGTTGGAGAAAAACAGTGAACTATTTGTTTAGACTATTATTTATAGGGAACTTCTTAAAGATGAACATGTTATTTTTTACAGATGGATAACTTTTATTGCTTTTTAATTTTCTTCTTACAATTTTTTTTGGAAGCATTGGAGATTGAACCCAGGGCATCATGCATGCTAGGCAAACACTCTGCGACTGAGCTATATCCCCAGTCCTTTGTCATTTTATTTTGAGACAGGGTCTTGCTAAGTTGCCCAGGTTGGCCTTGAACTTGTCATCTTCCTGCTTCAGCCTCCCAAGTAGCTAGGGTTAAAGATGTGCACTACATGCTAATTGTCCTCTTTTATATAAGATGATTACATAGGAATTTCTGAATGTGGGTTTGTTTCCCCTGGAAGAAAATGGAACATTTGTACTGAGAAGTCAGGACATACCCTGAAAAGATTTTTTTTTTTTTTTTTTTTTTGAGACAGGTTTTAATTATGTTGCCAGGACTGGTCTGGAACTTCTGAACATAAGTGACTCTCCCACCTAGGCCTCCTGCACCTACCACGATGCCTGATTTCATGTTGTTTTTTTTTTGTTTGTTTTGTTTTGTACTGGGGATTGAACCCAGGGGCACTTAACCACTGAGTCACATCCCCAGCTTCTTTTTTATATTTTATATTTATATTTTATTTGGAGGCAGAGTCTCACTGAGTTGCTTATGGCCTTGCTAAATTGTTGAGGCTGGCTTTGAACTTGCAATCCTCCAGCCTCATCCTCCCAAGCTGCTGGGATTACAGGCGTGCACCACTGTGCCCAACTCACCTTGGTTTTTAAAGACCCTGATGTTCAGGCCACACCCACAGCAGCTCTACAAAGACTTCTAAGAATACAAATTAACACAAACACAAACACATATATTTTTCAGTACTGGGGGTTGAACACAATGTGCCTCATGGCACTAGGTTCATGCATGCTAAGTAACCACTTTACCACTGAGCCACCCATAATTTTAAAAGCTCTCAAGATGGTTCCAGTGTACACCAGGACCAAGAAACAGCCGGTACAGGGAAACTGTATTTGCACAGGCTATTCACCCCACCCCCAGACCCTCTCCCTCCTCATCTCTCCCTCCCTCTCTGGCCCTAGGTGCTTCCTAACTCCCTTCTGATCTGGGGTCAAACATTATTTCCTCAGGGACAGCTGTCTTGAGTCTTTACATTCTCATGTTCAACTGAGACAATTTCTTTGTTCCTTACATCTATTTTTTGGGGGAGGGGGGTACTGGGGATTGGACCCAGGGGCACTTAACCACTGAGCCACATCCCCAGCCCTTTTTTGTATTTTATTTAGAGACAGGGTCTCACTGACTTGCTTGGAGTCTTGCTGAATTGCTGAGGCTGGCTTTGAACTTGAGATCCTCCTACCTCAGCCTCCTGAGCTGCTGGGATTACAGGTGTGGGCCACCATGCCTGGCTTTCATCTATTCTTCATAACACTTATCACTGGTAATTCTATATATTGTAAGTTTATTAGATCAAACATTATCTTCTCCGCTAGAATGTAAGCCCCACAAGGGCAAGTCTGGTGAGTGTTCTCATCCACCAGGGCTTGACATTTGGTAGGAATGTGGTGCATGTTTGATGATTGAATGAATAGATGCAGCCTCTGGAAAATGCTAGAAGTCATCCTCCAGCAAAGTGCTAGAGCAAGAGGCATCCAACCAAAAGAGAGAAAAGAAAAAATTGTGGGACTGAGAAGAGAATACATATAGGGAAATGGGAGCTTTGGAGAACAGCTTTAGCTGTGTAGCCTCTGGGGCAGCCAGGAACAGGGGAGTCAAGTTCATAGATCCCAGAAGGGCGGAAGACAAAATGAACCCAGGGGACAGGTCTGGTCAGGACCACAAGGAAGCAGTTGCAGCTGGAGAAGGAGACCCCAGGGGAAAGACCCTGACTCCCTGAGCCTTCCTGAGCTGATTGACAGGTCTGTCCAAGACTAGAATGCTGACAGCAGGAGGCAAGGAGGCTTCAGCCTAGGAATATTGTGGGTAGTTAAGCACTTGGGGAAAATAAGGTGGGAATGCTTTGTGAGCAGGGATATAAGAGTGGTATTGGAACAACTTTCTAGAAGATTCTGTGACTCTCCCCACCACCCCCACCCCAAGGACTGCACCAGAACCATGCCCTCAGAGAGAGTCAGGAATTTGCGAGTTGATTAGTGGTGAGGCTGAGATTTGAACTCATGTTTGACCTAACACTGTGCCATTCGGAAGACAAACTCCAAGAATACTGATGCTTTCAGGAAGCCTGTAATTCCCAGGTACCAAGCTGATTCACTTATACCCTGTCTGGGTGCAGGAAAGACCCAGCCTAATTTGTAATTCGATCATCACAAATTGCATCCGAAGGACACTTTGCCTGTATTCTCTCCCCCTCCCCAACTTCTCTTTCCCTGTAACTTGGGTGATTAAAAAACTCCTACCCTCTCCAACCCTGCCCCCTCCCCCGACCCTGCTCCCGTGTGCTGGCACCTCCCCACAGGACAGGACGTGGCAGGCAGCCTGCTGCCACTACTGCAGTTTCCCTGCCAGTTTCCTCCCAGCTGTTGGAGGACATCTGTTACTCCTGCCTGTTTCCTGCCAGGCTGAACCGAAGGGCACAGTGACCCGAACTACCCCACGTTGGCTTCATCACCATGCCCTGCAGCCGCTGGGCCCGGCTCTCATCTTTGCCCCCAAGAGCCACTTCTGTTGGCTGCTGTGGTGGCAGCAGGTGACAAGAAAGGGAAAGGCAGGGGAATCAGCAGGATAATCTCCAGCGGCTGCATGGGGGTCCCAGGAGCCACCGAATGATTGTGAACAAGGGTGGCCACTTGGCAACTCTGTGACTTTGTGGAAGTCACTTCTCTGTTCTTGTGGAAGTCACTTCTCCCTTTCTCTCAGAAAGGGAGACCTGGACTAGCTAGATCATTCATCATGTGGTCTGGAGCCCAAGGATATGTCAAGATGGAGCAGAGTTTCAGAATCTTGGGTGGAGGTAATTACCCCCTGCCCCCCCCAGAGCAGGTCCAAACAAACCAACCATATATATATATATATATATATATATATATTTAGTACCAGGGCCCTTAACTGCTAAGCCACTTCCCCAGCCTGTTTTATTTATTTATTTTTATTTTGAGATAGGGTCTCACTAAGTTGCTAAGACTGGCTTTGAGCTTGTGATCCTCCTGCCTCAGCCTCCTGAGCTTCTGGGATTACAGGTGTGCTCCATTACACCAGGTCCAAATCTACTTCTATCAGACTCTCAAAAATACTCTTAGGAATTACTAGGGGGTCCTGTTCCAACTCTGGATGATTATCCAATTGGTCTCAGGCATAAGGATCTCTCTTCTAAATTCCTCCCCCCTCTTCTCTCCCCACCTGCCCCCTACAGACTTTTACAAAGAGCAGGATTATTGTCCCACTTTGACTTTTTCACCTCCCTCTGGGAGGCTCCTCAGTAAGAAAGTAACTCAATGGAAGGAAGGCACAAGGAGGGAATGTCCATTCAGAGAGATGGCCCACATCCTGCTTGGCTACTGGCTGTCACCATTAAGCCTTGTCCAGATGGCCAGGTGTAATGGTGGGCCGCCCGCCATCCATCCCAACTACCAGGTGCCCTGGGGGGATGTGAAAGCGACTCAGCCATAGGCTCTGCCCTCAGGAAACTTGTCCTCTGGCTTGAAGAAAGAATACTTTTGCAAAAAAAAAAAAAAATGCAACCAATAGAAGAGCCATAACAGCAAGGCAATATATCAGCTATACTGTCGGGGCCAAGGAAGACATATTGAAAAGAGGGCTTTGAAGGAAGCAGAGAATTTTGCTGGACGGGCAGAGGGTGCGGGAGTGCATGTCAGGCCATGTGGGCCCAGAGGGACTATAAGAATATGCTCCAGCACTACTGAGAACTGAGGAACTGCTGACAGTCGTCATCTGGTCCCATTGGTGTCCGTGTCCCCCGCTCTCACCACAAGAGGAAAATGGAATTCAGGTCGTACGAGGGCTGCCATTTATAAAGGCAGAAAAACACAGCGAGAGCATTAAGGTCTCAGTTTTCCAAGGAAATCCCAAATGCATCTCAGCCTCATGCCCCCAGGATCCTCAGTTTTGTGAGTATTTAAGCTCTCCAGGGTCCAAGAGAGTTCCTTTCATAAGGCAAAAGCAGGCCTCAGGTTGTCCTCTGGGATTGGCAGCTCATGGACATGGACTCCTGGGGAACACTATACCAGAACTAAAGAGGATAAGGACTAGTCGAAAAGACCCCTATCCAGGTCACCCAGCCAACTCGCAGACACAGACTGTAGCATATGGACACATGGCCTGGGCTGCATCTCAAATTTAATTCCCTTAAAAACACAGAAACAGGTGGAGAGACGAAGAGAGGGATTTCCCTAGACATGGGGGAGATGGGGACCCCTGTATCCTGGGGAAGAGAAGAGGTCTCAGAAAGAGTGCTTGTGGGTGTACCTTGGGAAGTAGGGATTCCCAGTCTTGGAAATGTTCTGACACCCAAGCATGGCATGAGGGCAGCATGAGGTCACCAGGTATCTATGGACAATATAGGTGTGGACAACAGGTATTTCAGAGGCCAAGGGTTGATCAAAGGCTTAAGGAAACTTCCCTGATATTTTTTGGCCATAATTCACCAGTATCTTTGCCCAACCTGGTTGTGGCAGTTGGGAGAAGTGGAGAGAACCCCTACAGTGCCTGAAACTGAATTGTTCTGGTACCCTGACAGGTGGGGATCTCAGAGTCAACTTTCATTTGGTTTAAGGATCTAACAAAATATGACATTTCTCTCCCATCCCATGACGTGGCTGCAAATGTGTTCACGTGAACACTGGGGGAGTGCACGGTGGAATTCTAAAATGTCTTCTTCTTCTTTTTTTTAATGTTGGAATAAAAATTGTTTGGATGCATTTTGTGTAAATGAAGACAAAACCCTGGCAGAGTCAGGAGTCATCTGGGACCTAGAGATGCTGTCTCTGTATGGAAGATGGGTTTTGAGAGATCTTACTTTGAGCTGACAGGGGAATAGCATAAAGGTCTTAGCTAAACAAATCAAACAAGGCAAAACAAGGTAGCAGTGTACCAATGCCCTCTTCAATAATACACTTTTAAAAAATTTCTTTTTATTAATCCCATCTCATCTCCAAAGCAAATAAATAAGGCCTTTCTCATAACCCTGTGTAAGATAGGAAAGTGCAAAATGCCACCTCTGCTTCCGTGTTTAAGAGAATATTTTGGAGCCACAGAACATATTTTTCTAGGAAAAGGTGTCAGTTGATGAAATATGTACCTTTTTCATTGACGGTATAAATGACATCACTCATGTAATGTTTCCCCCTCTATCTTTTCTCTGTTTGTTTTCCAAAATACTAAAATAAAGCCAGAATGCCATTTATGACTCTTTTTTTGGTGGGGGGTATTGGGGATTAAACCCAGAGGCACTTAACCACTGAGCCACATCCCCAGACCTTTTTTTGTATTTTATTTAGAGACAGGGTCTCCTTGAGTTGCTTAGGGCCTCACTAAGTTACTGAGGCTGGCTTTGAACTCATGATCCTCCTTCTCAGTCTCCTGAGCCACTGAGATTATAGGTGAGTGCCACCATACCTGGCTGGCATTTATGAGTCTTGGTGTAAATTCAGAATAAGCTAAGGTGTGGAAAAATGATAAATATATTAAAGCACCTCTAGCCGTTTCTAATTGAAAACGGAAGAAGAGCTCTGTGAGCATTGCTTTGTCCCTTCTCTGGGAGGCTGGCCAGAAGTGCCACCCTGTAGATCAAGCCCAGCAATGTAACTCTTACCTGCAGATGGGGGGCCTGGGGGCCCCGGGGGGCCTGGACGGCCAGGTTGACCAGAAGGCCCAGGCTTGCCAGGTGGGCCCATAACTCCACTATCTCCCTTCTGTCCCTGACAGAGAGAAAGGCACAGCCTGTTAGGATATGTGGCAGGGCAAATTTCCTTCCCCATTTGTCTCTAAATCAGGGACCACCTAGCACTTAGGAGCTAGAGCTCAGGGTAGGACGCAAGCCCAGAAGTCTTGGACCACCAAGCTCCTAGAAGACTCAGGGCAAGTGACATTTGAGATATAGTGACAGTTGCAAGATTATAGGCCTTGGTTCTTGCTCTGTCCCAGAAACATGGCACATGGCATCTGAACAGAACCAACCCGACCCAACCCCTGGGATGGATTAGGAAACAGAAGCTCAGAAAAGAGCAGGGATTTATGCAAGTCCCCTGATATCAAGTTAGGCCTGGAATCCAGGCTTTCTGCTTGCTTCTCAAGACCGTTTGTTTATTTCCCTGGCTTCCTGTGGCTCTCTGGATAAAGATCCAGCTCCTTCCTTTGGCTTAGGAAACTGGGCATGGCTAGGCTTGCTAGTCTTGTTCCATTTTTCTTTTCTTGTTTGGTCTTCAAGAGCACTATGACTCTTATTCCCCCTTCTCAAAACTCTTCTCTCTGCCCAGACTCCTCTTCTGCCCCCTCTGCCTTCAGCTCTCAGCTCAAATGTCACAGCAAACCCATCCCTGACTTCTCAGGGGGACTCGGATCTCCCTGGCACAGGTTCTCCTGACGTGGCCTCTCTCCTTCGTGGCAATCATCCCAGATCCCTGTGTACATATTATTTGGGTGGTTATTTCATCCATGTGTCCCCATGAGGCTTGACCTCCTTGTGGGTTGGCATCTAGTGCTCACCTCCTCTCCCCAGACCAGATGAGGGAGGAGAGAGAAGCCGACAACACAAAGAGGAGAGATATCTTGCTCTATAAAGCTAGAATTTTCACCTTGACCTTGGGACCCTGGGTAGCTCATATGGTTTTGTGCCTCAGTTTTGTGTTCTGTAAAGTAGGGCCAGTGACTATCCATCCACACAGGTGTTTTTGTTTTGTTTTTTGGCTAACAAAGATCTCAAAGGTGAAAATTGTGGTTGGCACATAATGAAGGGCTATGTAGAGCCACATGATTATCCCAGCAATTGGCCTGGTTTCATCACATAGTAAAAGAAATCCTGATTTCTTTCTCTTTTTTCTTCTTCTTCTTAAAAATTTTGCTTTTTGTTTTGTTTTGGTTTTTGGTGCTGGGGATTGAGCTCAGGGGGCACTCTACCATGGAGCTACACCCCCATCCCTTTCTATTGCTTGTTTTGAGGCAGGATTTTGCTATGTCACCCAAGCTGGCCTGAAATTTGCAATCCTCCAGCTGGGATTACAGGCGTGCATCACCATGCCTGCCCTGATTTTCTTAAAGAAAGACATAACCCAAAGCTACAGCTATTCCTCTAGGAGTGGAGTATGCTCTTTGCTGCCTATTCTGGGAGTTTCAAGAGCAAAGATCAGGCTCTCAGTTCTCCCTCATGGGATTCTTAGAACTGACCCCCCTTTCCCCAAGAACTGGTGTATGCTATAGGCTCTTTGTGTGAGCAGTTTGCTAACTACCCTTGCACGAGGCCTTATGGGGACAGTGATTGTCACCTGACATCTTTGGCCTGGCTCTCCCTACTATACTTGTGTCTTGGCAAGCTTGCCCACCTGATGAAACACAATCTTCTCCAAGTCTGAGAAACACACATACCGGGGACTCCTTTCCAATCACAAGGTAACACATGACCTGCTGCCTTGTTGACTTGTCCTTGGGGGCCCTGTCACTAATGCCTGGTGAGTTCTTACACTCTTAAGATGGGACCCATGAGGTCAGTTTGTTTCCGAATCCACGCTCTTGGAGGGCATTCTGAAGGTGCGGGCCAAGCTGAAGCATTCCAAACAGTAAGCAAGACGGGGCCCAGAATGGCAAAGGAAGTCACACTGGCTTAATATAGCCACAGTTAAGGCTTGTTTTTCTAACAGCCAGGTCAGCTGGCTCTGAGCACAGGAAGTACACAGCTTGAAGGAGCTGGAGGTGCTCCTGATTCTGACAGCAGCCATAAAGGAGTCTTCGACGCAGAATGAGCCACGTCTCTATCAGTAGGACTCATGGAGCCAAGCTTTCCAGGAAAAGCTTTCTTTATTCCTTATTTGCTACAAAGCTGGGAGATCTCTCTCTCAAGGAAGTTGTTGTGTCTCCTTCATTGAAGGTTTTTATGATAAAGTCAGCTGCTGCTTTCTTGAACCTGCCCATAGGCAAGTCCTGGAGTAGGAAGGGGATAGGGAGAAGATGCATGGGGAAAAGCCTGTGGACCTACTCTAAGTTCTAATCCTGGTTTTGCATTTAATTGACTCTGTCATTGAGGGGTCTTGGGCAAGCAATGCCACCTCCCTGTCCCTCAGTTTCCTTGAAGAGATTTGGGTTAAATGGTCTCTCAAATCCTTCTGATTTGGAAATTCCAGTCTGAAATCCCCTCTGGATTTTTGGTTCCTGGTTTTGGATGGATTACAACAACCTCCAGAAGCTCTTACCCCGGCTGGCCCAATAAACACTAGACACAGGACTCTAGGCTAAGAAGTGAATTTGTGACAAAAACAACATCCCCTGGCAAGGTACCAAGGCTCACCACTCAAGTGTCAGCTCACTGAACAACACCAAGGGCTTGGAGCACTCTCAGGGTGTTGATAGCATCTTCTAGAAAGGATGAGCTCACTCCCTAGCTTCTCTGAGCTCCCAGATGTGGTTTTGGGTTGGCTCTTACTAGTGATCCAATGGAATCAATGTCAGCAGGGTCAGGAAATAATCTTTCTGGCTTTGACTCTCCCAGGAAAAGTTGAACACTGTCCAAGAAAAGTATTCGAGGACAGAAGTCTGGAACCCCAACATAAAATACTCTGGATGGGAATCATTAGTATGGAAGAAAGTGATGAAATATTTCTCCCCTATTTTCTTCTTCTTTTTCAGAGACTAGATTTAAGGAAAGTAGTGTCTGTGGTGTCACGGTGAAGCCGTGGCCATGCCAGTCATCATAAAACTTTGAAAATGAGACTGGGCTGTTGTCACTTCAAAAAATTATATTATGAGGTTTGCATTATTCCAATGGGAACTTCTGTCACTTCTAAATTTACCTGGAGAAGACTGTGATTATCTTCATATAGTGTTACTGACTCTGAACCCTAGCTGCACATTAGAAACTAAACTGAATTGAAGAATGGGCAGCTTAAACAAAACTAAACTAAAATCAGGCTGGTGGCCTAGTCCAGTTTGATTGCATCAGTCTGGGAAATAAGGCCTAGGTATGGAGAACCATGAGAGGCAAATCTGAAGTACACCACTGTACCTGGTTGGGAATCTGTATTCAATAGCTCCTCCACCTCAGGTGATTCTTTTTTTTTTTTTTTTTTCTGTACTGGGGATTAAACTCAGGGGCACTCGACCACTGAGCCCCATCCCCAGCCCTATTTTGAATTTTATTTAGAGACAGGGTCTCACTGAGTTGCTTAGCGCCTCCCTAAGTTGCTGAGGCTGGCTTTGAACTCTTGATCCTTCTGCTTCAGTCTCTTAGCTGTTGGGATTATTAGCTGTGCGCCATTCATACCCAGCCCAGGTGGTTCTGATTTAAACTACAGTTTGTTTGAGGACCACAGATCTAGCCTAAGGAAATAATTAGGAGAATGGAAAAAGCGTTGAATCTAAAGATGTTCACCTTTCAGGACTCTTTCTCATCTGGCTAGGTCTCTCTTGTCATGCTCACTCATGTACCAACATATGATAAGGATATTAAAACATGTTTTAAGGCGCTGGGTTTGTGGCTCGGTGATAGAGCGCTCGCCTAGCACATGGGCCCTGGGTTTGATCCTCAGCACCACATAAAAATATAAATAAAGAAAGAAAGATATTATGTCCAACTAAAAAAAATTAAATATTTAAAAAAATGTTTTAAAACATTAATTGATATCTACAGGGGCAAGAAAAACTACATATTGTGATTTTAAGTTAAAAATTAAGAACAAAATAACTACACATTGCATATGTAAGAAACAAACAACCTGAAACTATAAAAAGAAATAATTCTGGAAGGAAATATTTGAAAATCACACCATCACCACCAACCATGTATATGCTTGAGTATTGGGTCTTTGGATTATTTTCATCTTATTTTTCTGAATTTTCTAAGTTTTTGTGATGACTACATGTTATATTTATAATGAGAAGGAAGGAAAAACTCAACAAACTGAATGGATTCTAAATGTATCTCTACAAAGAAACAATTAATATTTGAGGTGATGGATATGATTTGATCATTCTGCAATACACACACACACACACACACTGCTCCATACAGAACTGTGTGTATATAATTACTTTCTAATTAAAACTAAAGTAAAACAAATACTTTACTAATGTTCAAAATGATGTTTTCTTTGAACATATTCACAATCCTTGACTTTAAAGAGCAAGTCGTGCAAGTATATACATTCATATATCTATTTTAAAATTAAGATTATTTAAATAAAATTGAATTTAAGAAGTCTTTCTGAAATTAAAAAGAGCCAGGGCTGAGGATATAGCTCAGTTAATAGAGTGCTTGCCTCACATGTACAAGGTCCTGGGTTCAATCTCCAGCACCACAAAATAAATAAATAAATAAATCGCCTTGAAATTAAAAAGAGCCAACAAAATGAAAATTAAAAAAGTAATGGTGTGCCCTTCTCAAGAGTGCTGTCCAGAAGTTTTTCTGAGGACCTCAGTATAGCTCTAGAGCCAGCCAGCGAAAATGTACCCTACTCTTTCCTTTTCCTGTCACATCACCTGGCTTAATGTAGGAGCTTGCTGACCTAGGAAATGAACTATTTCCCTAAACCCTTACAAACACAGTTAAAAGGATTGCTTACAAATTGGGGGCCATGTAGGGAAAAATCGACCTGTCCTTAAGACCCGGAGGACCTTTCAATGGTGGGGAAATATGTGGGCTGTTACAGATTTTCTGGGTAAAACACCCTATCTTTCATTCTGAGTTGCTTTGGTCTAGATGGACTTGTTCCCATGAACTGAAGACCCGTTCTTGCTTCTGGTCTTGAGAACAGCAACCATGGCACAGCCTATTCTGTCTACCTGGACCTGTGGCTAGCCGGAAAAGCCAGAAGTATCTGGAAATGGTGCTGCTTCTGCCCTCCACCCCAGAGGAGCCTGGAGACTGGGGCTATGGGTTAGCTCTGACTGACACGACCCACCTGCCTCTCCACACAGCGAGGGTCAGGAAGTGCTGACCTTAGTTAGGGGGGTGGCAAACCCTGAGATCCTTACCTGCTTGCCACGTTTCCCTGGTCTTCCTGTGGGTCCTCGGTGTCCTGCTATCCCAGGTTCACCCTTTGGACCCATTTCACCCTGGAAAGAGGAAAGAGAAGTGAAAGAGAAATTGGGGCATGTGGAGTGGGCATATCTAGACAGGTCTGTCCATATCTAGACTGGCCATGAGGGAAGTCTCTAGATCATTCCAAGTCTTTTCCAGATGGGCTGCCCTGGGAGCCTGGGAGAGTGATGAGGTTGTGTAAAAGGCTGACACATCTTTCAAAGAATAAGACGGGAAGAAGCTAGCCCTGAGTAGGTTGAGAAGCTAATCCTAATCCTGTATGGATTACTTAATTTCTGGGAGAGATGGCTGTAGGCCCAAAGACATTTTGGTGCCCCCCCCCCCAAAAAGGGGAGGGGTGGTGGGGGGTGGAAACCACATCCAGAATACCCAAAGTGGGAGGGTTCTGCATTCCAGTCACTTGTGCACCTGATGCTACAAACTGTCCTGGAGAAAAGGATTTCACTTTTAGTTAAAATTTTATATTGTGCTTTGTGATGTTTGCTTTTAACCACAAAGTCAAATCTGTGGGCCTTCCTTTCTTCCTTCTTACCAGGGATTGAACTCAGGGGCACTTGATCACTAAGCCACATCCCCAGCCCTTGTTTGCATTTTATTTAGAGACAGAGTCTCACTGAGATGCTTAGGACCTCCCTAAGTTGCTGAGCCTGGCTTTCAACTTGCGATCCTCCTGCCTCAGCCTCCTGAGCTGCTGGGATTGTAGGCATGCACCACCACGCCTGGCCTGTGGGCTTTTTTAATGATTAATTGGACACCATTTGCCAGCTATCACGTTTGGGAAGTTTCTGCTCATCTGATGCCTTTATTGAAAATTATAGAGTTCCCCACTCTTCAATAAGCATTGCTTTGAGTTCATGCTCACTTCCATTTGATTTAAATGAAGACTCTTTTTTGGAGGGAGGGTGTTTCCAATGTATGGTCAAATATTCAACATAATTATTATAAAAGGCCTGGAAAACAGTGTACACAACATTTCTAATTGAAAATAACGTATACTTAACAATCAGAACCAAATGCACCCATCCCAGAATTTCACAGGATAAGGCCAATCTTTTGCAAGGTCCATTTCTTTCTTCATCTTAGTTTCTTTCCCTCTTCTCTATGTTCTCCTAGGATCCCAGTCCCACTTCACTATTTTTGGGGGTCATGAACTCACAGGACACATCATTCCTACCTCCAGTTACCCTCCTACAATGAGCCACCAAGTAGCCATCACCACCATGAGAGTTTCTTTAGCAGCCAGGGACTCAGAGAAAATAGAAACCCAGGCTCCTTTGCAGGAGGTGGTCAGGAGAGGTACAACACAATGGAAAATTCCAGAAGAGGATAATATAATATGGTGAGGATCAAGAATAAGCCTCTGAATGATCTGTCAACTCAACCAACACAAAGAATTTGTCCCTTCTTGAGACACCAATGTCTTGTATCACCAAAAATTTTCTTGAAGTCTATGCATCCTCACCTACATGTGGCATCCTTGAGCATTCTCTGCAGAGTGTGTTAGGGGATAGGATGGATTCTATATGGTTGTGGAAACGTTTGTGCCGTTTTCCCTTGGCTGGCCAGAGAAGGACAGGGGAGGTCTTATTTGACTAGGAGAAAACAGCAGCATAAACAATATAAATTTTTTAAAGAGACTGTCAGAAGGCAGTGGGGCCCTTCTCTTTATCAACTGAAAGCAGCCAGTAATTTTTTGATCTAATTTCTCTCCTAAAACCTAATTATGGTTACCTTATCAGCTCTGTCTTAAAACAGCCTACCACAAAGGAGGGAAGACAATTCTTTTCAACGCCAGGTCTAGTAAATGGCGCAGAGACTGGAGAAGCTGTCATGCTTAATTTTACAGTAATTTATGACTCTTTGATTTTCGTTGTTACACGGAATGAATACCTAACCTAAATCTTTTAAAATAAAATTAATTTTTTTCTTTTTAATGTTTCTTTTAATTTGCTTATAAAATTACAATTTTAAAAATGTAACACCCCATTTAGGGTAGCAGAAACAGAGTTTCTGACAAATTCAGGTGGCGATATAATCATAGTAAATTAATGCATGATGACTGAAAATATGGAAACATGCTCTATTGGTTGGATACTGTCAGATAAAAATTATTTAGGTATGGAAAATGATATTTTAAGGTAAACTTAAAATGTTAAAAATACTAAGTGTCCATTTGCATGTTTGGAGAATTTCGCGCTCTGAGACTTAACAGTTTCCAAATGGAAAAACTGTGGGCAAAGGGGAGGGAGGGATGGGGAGGGGGAATGGGGACAGGAAAGATGGTGGAATGAGATGGACATCATTACCCTAGGTACATGTATGACTGCACGTATGGTGCAACACTACATCTTGTATAACCAGAAATAAAACGTTGTGCTGCAATTGTGTACAATGAATCAAAGTGCATTCTGCTGTCATATATACCTACATCTCAAAGCCCTAGAAAAAGAAGAACAAATAAACATCAAAAGCAGTAGAAGACAGGAAATAATTAAAATCAGAACTGAAATTAATGAAATTGAAACAAAAGAAACAGTTGAAAAAATTGACAAAACAAAAAGTTGGTTCTTTGAAAAAAATAAATAAAGTAGATAAACCCCTGGCCATGATAATGACAAGAAAAAGAAACTGAAATTACTAAAATACAAGATGAAGAAGGAAATATCACAATGGACACATATGAGATATAGAAGATAATTAGAAAGTATTTTGAAAATTTATACTCTAATAAAATAGAAAATATCAAAGACATTGACAAGTTTCTAGAAACATATGATCTACCCAAACTGAATGAGGAGATCATACACAATTTAAATAGATCAATTTCAAGTAATAAAATAGAATAGAATGCCATCAAAAGTCTACCAACCAAGAAAAGCCCAGGACCAGATGGATTCTTAGCCAAGTTCTATAAGACTTTCAAAGAAGAATTAACACCAACACTCCTCAAAGTATTCCATGAAATACAAAATGAGGGAACCTTTCCAAACTCATTCTATGAGGTTAATATCATCCTGACATCAAAACCAGACAAAGACACATCAAGGAAAGAAAACTTCAGACCAATATCCCTGATGAACATAGATGCAAAAATTCTCAATAAAATTCTGGCAAATTGCATAAAAAATATATTTGAAAGATAGTGCATCATGATCAAGTGGGATTCATCCCAGGGATGCAGGGTTGGTTCAACATATGGAAATCAATAAATATAATTCATCATATTAACAGACTTAAAAACAAGAATCATATGATCATCTCAATAGATGCAGAAAAACGCGGAAAAAGTATTTGACAAAATACAGCACACCTTCATGTTCAAAACACTGGAAAAATTAGGGATAGTAGGAACATACTTCAACATTGTAAAAGCTATATATGTTAAACCCAAGGCCAGCATCATTCTAAATGGAGAAAAATTGAAAGCATTCCCTCTAAAAACTGCAACAAGACAAAGATGTCCTCTTTCACCACGTCTATTCAACATCATCCTTGAAACTCTAGCCAGAGCAATTACACAAAACAAGAAATTAAAGGGATACAAATAGGTAAAAAAGAACTCAAACTATCACTATTTGCTGATGACATGATTCTATAGCTAGAAGATCCAAAAAGTTCCACCAGAAAACTTCTAGAACTAATAAATGAATTCAGCAAAGTAGCAGAATATAAAATCAACACCCATAAATCAAACACATTCCTATATATTAGCGATGAATTCACTGAAAGAGAAATTACAAAACTACTCCATTCATAATAGCCTCAAAAAAAAAAACACCTGGGAATCAATCTAACAAAATAGATGAAAGACCTCTATGATGGAAACTACAGAACACTAAAGAAAGAAATTGAAGAAAACCTCAGAAGATGGAAAGATCTCCCATGCTCCTGGATAGGCAGAATTAATAATGTCAAATGGCCATACTACTAAAAGTGTTATACAGACTTAATGCAAATTCTATTAAAATCCCAATGACATTTTTCAGAGAAATAGAAAAAGCAATCATGAAATTTATTTGGAAAAATAAGAGACCCAGAATAGCTAAAGCAATCCTTAGCAAGAAAAGTGAAGCTGCAGGCATCACAATACCAGACCTTAAACTGTACTACAGAGCTATAGTAACAAAAATGGCATGGTACTGCCACCAAAATAGACTTGTAGACCAATGGTACAGAATAGAGGACACAGAGACAAGCCCACATAAATATAGTTATCTCATACTAGACAAGGGTGCCAAAAACATTCACTGGAGAAAAGATAGCCTATTCATCAAATGATGCTGGCAAAACTGAAAATCCACATGTTGCAAAATGAAATTAAACCTGTATCTCACCCTGCACAAAAATCAACTCAAAGTGGATCAAAGACTTAGGCACTAGAACAGAGACCCTGCACCTAATAGAAGAAAAAATAGACCCAAATCTTCACCACGGGGCTGGAGCTGTAGCTCAGCGGTAGAGCGCCCACCTTGCACGTGTGAGGCACTGGGTTCCATTCTCAGCACCACATAAAAAATAAATAAAGATTTTGTCCAACTACAATTAAAAAATATTTTAAAAAAATCTTCACCACTTCGGCCTAGGATCTGACTTCCTTAACGACACTCCTAAAGTGCAAGAAGTAAAATCAAGAATCAATAAATGGAATGGATTCAAATTAAAAAGCTTCTTCTCAGCAAAGGAAACAATTAATAACATAAGGAGAGAGCCTACAGATTGGGAGAAAATCTTTACCACATGCAACTTCAATAAAGCACTGATCTCTAGGATATATAAAGAACTCAAAAAACTTAACACCAAAAAAATCAAATAACCCAATCAGTAAATGGGTCAAGGAACTGAATAGACACTTCACAGAAAAAGAAATATAATTGATAAACAAACATGAAAAAGTGTTCAACATCTCTAGCAATTACAGAAATGCAAATCAAAATTACTCTCAAGATTTCTTCTCATTGCAGTCAGAATGGCAATCATCAAGAATACCGGTAACAATAAATGTTGATGAGGATGTGGGGAAAAGGTACATTCATACATTGCTGGTGGGACTGTAAATTGGTGCAACCACTCTGGAAAGCAGTATGGAGATTCCTCAGAAAATTGGGAATGGAACCACCATTTGACCCAGCTATCCCACTCCTTGGTTTATACCCAAAGGACTTAAAATTATCATACTACAGTGATGCAGCCACATCAATGTTTATAGCAGCTCAATTCACAATAGCTAGACTATGGAACCAACCTAGGTGTCCCTCAATAGATGAATGGATAAAGAAAATGTGATATATATATACTCAATGGAATATTACTCAGATTTAAAGAAGAGTAAAATTACGGAATTTGCCAGTAAATGGTTGAAGTTGGAGAATATCATGCTAAGTGAAATAAGCCAATCCCACAAAACCAAAGGCTGAATGTTTTCTCTAATATGTGGATGCTAATTCACGATAAGGTGAGAGGCACTAGGGAAGAACAACATTACTTTAGATTAGGTAGAGGGAAGTGATAGGAGGGGAGGGGAGGGGATGTGGGGATACGAAAGATAGTAGAATGAAACAGACATTATTACTGTATGTATAATGTGACTATATGACCAATATGATTCTGTAACATGTGCACTCAGAAAAATGAGAAGTTATATCCCATCTATGTATGATATATCAAAGTCCATAAATGCATTCTACTGTCATGTGTAACTAATTATAACAAATAAAAAAAATTAAAATGAAGAAAATAACAGTTTCCAATGTCAATACCTTACGACATGAGGCTCCAGCATGACTGTCAGCTTAGAAGTTAGTTCTAAATGGTCATTTGTATGTCCCTTGTCTCTTCATTCCCTAGCAACAAGGGTTAGAAACCAGACCCTAAGCAAAAGTTTTCAAAAATCTGTCAGTCATTTGCTACCTTCACAAATGTCATTTTATCTGTATGCCACTCTATTGTTATTTGCTGGCTAATTTTTCTTTAAGTTACCTGAGCCTGACTCCATTTTTATTAGGCCTTGTTCCAAGCAAGATACCCACTAAATATTTCACTATTTAAATAAAATCTCTTTAAATAAAAAAATAAACAATTAAAAATGTTTACTGTCATTCAATTACAATAATTCTGTGCACTTTGAAGAAGACAGAAGAAGAGTTTAGGCTGCAGAGACATGAAGCCAAAAATGGTTGTAACTTTGCCCTGAAGCCTACGGGCTGAGAGGGGCCTTGACCTGCACTGCACCTCAGATGTGAATCCCTTGTCACAAAGTTCCTTCCTTTGAACATCATCATAGTCTTCCAAGAAGTGGGAAAAACAAAGAAGGACCTCTCTCCACCTGATGGAAGCTGTTTTTCTGCCACTGCCTGGAGGGAAGTCTCAGACCACCCTGCCATCCTCTCCTCTGTGTGTAAAGAAACTTGCTCTTCACCCTAAACCAGAACCTTCCACAGTTAAACTTGCTTTCCATGGTGGACAAAGGGGCGGGGCTCTCTTGTTGTGCGTGGAGAGCCTTTTTTTTTTTAACTGAGACCTATTTTCACTATTTCGGGGTACTTACTTTTTGCCCCAACATTCCAGGAAATCCTGGGAAACCCTGTGAACAGAACAACAAATATCACGACCACCTCTGAAATAACCCTTGAAAGGGCAGAAGATGAGCTTGGTTCACCCATTTTCAAGATGGAGGCCTGCCAGTCCCATCCGTCATCCAGCCTACAGGTGGGGTGAGCTGGGGGCTGCTACTTGCATTGCAGTTTAGCATTTCTATGTTCTTACCTTTTCTCCTTTGGGACCCAAGTCACCCCTTTCACCTCTGGATCCCTAGGAGGAAACCACAGGAGAGAGGCAATGAGTTAATATCAAGGGGGAGGGTGGGGATTGAAGCATTTGAAGCTGAAAAGCTTCCTAAGACAACACCCTCATTTTACGAAGACATAGGCTCACAGACCTTACATGGTTTGCTCAGCAAAGGAAAGGTTTGTGACTACCTTCTGTTTGGACCCCCCAAACCTTTTGCATAATAATGAAGCACAACTTACAGAGAATCTTGGGTCCTAGATCCTCTCTTATCCCAAAGGAAGTCTGTTCTCAAGTTCCTTCTGGCTTTTTTTTTTTTTGGTTTTGACAGATGAGAAGGGCAGGTGGTAGAAGTCTGCTCTAAGGACACAGACCTGCCACCTTCCTCCGGCATCCCCATGAATACTGTGTACCTCCACTGGGAGAGCCCCCTTATCCTGCCTCAGGAGACCCCTCACCTCTTCCTCAGTCCACTGACAAAGGACAGAGGAACAGCTAGGAATGGCTTTTGTAGTTAGTGACTAATGAGAGGCCTGGGCCCGTCCTCTGTCCGCCACCAACTATGGAGCCTGTAACCCAGACCAGGCTCTGGAATGCCATCAGAGACAAGCACTGACCTTTTCCCCTCTGGATCCTGGGTAGCCCTAAAAGAAAGCAGAAAGTGCATTTAAAATCAGCTCTGTAGGACCTGTGGGTGTGGTGGAGAATGGAAAGAGTCCCCCAACGTAGTGCTGATGGGTCTCCACATCACATTGCAAGTTTTCATGGGATTGCAACAGATGTCCCTGAGGATTATGCTTAAAGCACGCCTCAGAAGAACATGGTTTTCCTCATCGCACAAAGGTTTTCATCTGTTCAAATGTCTAGAGGCTTGACCTTAACAGGCCAGGAGAACAGCAGGAATGGCATCCTTATGCCCCTGAATTTCAGGGTATGATGTCCCCAAAGTGCCTCTAAAGACTAGCACCCGGCACTGACTCTCTAATACCTATGACATTCTGCAGCCCAGGATGGTGACTCTGCCCTTCCCGTCTCTGAGGACACAGCTGCTCTAGAGCCTTAGTGAGAAGATCTGGGGATATCCATCTGGACCACACACTGACCTTGGAGCCCATTGGTCCTCTTGACCCTGGCAAGCCCATCATGCCCAGGTCACCTTTTTCACCCTGTGTGAATTAGAAGAGGGGAAAGGAGACACACAGTGACATTTCTTAGAGAAACTGAACCAAGAGAATCATAGGCAGGATTGGGATGGAACCAGGAACATTGGGGTTGGATTGTGAATCTGAGGTCCCCAAATGACCCCTTGCCCCCTCCTAGAGGCCCAAGGTTCCATACTCCACCTTTCATTCTGGTTTGAGATTAAATATAAAATGAAAATGCCCAAGGTAGAGCAGATCTCCAAACTAAATACTCACTAAGCTGTTGTAAATGGTGATACTTGATCTTTTCCTAGAAAAGGTTGTAAGAGGGTAGGGGAGAAAGCATGAGGGCTTGGAGATTCAGAAGACAAAGTGTTAACACACACAAAAAAAAATCTTTGTACGACTTGCTGTTTGCATATGGAGGGCCTTTGAGACATTGTCATAGACTCTCACTCTAGGTTTTCAGTCGTGTATAGTGAACATCAACCTCTGGGTGTATACTACGGAGGCAGGGGCTTAAGAATTATGGATGGGCTTTCTTGCCCCTCAGAACAATCTGCATTTGGAACTTCTAGCATCTTCCATGCTAAGAAAACTCTAAACTAGGACTAACCATTATAAATATGAGGTGAGCCACATGCTGAATTTTAAGTGTTTTTAGAAGTCATCTGAAAAGTAAAGCTAAGCAGATGACATTAATTTTACCAATATATTTTATTTAATTTCTCATTTCAACATGTAGCAAATATAAAATGATCAATGAGTATTTTACATTCTGTTTTTTTTTATATTTAATACTTGAAGTCTGTTGTGTATTTTGCATTTAAGGAATATCCCAATTCAGGAGCTAAATTCTCATTCCAAACACTTGACCTGTGTTTAGATTTCACAAAATTTATAGTTGAAAAAGCAGCCACACCTTCAAGTTGCTCCAAACATACCTGAAAGTTTTCAAATGATTAAAATGAGTCAAGGTTTTAAAATTCAGATTTGGATGGATTAAAATTAAACATTCAGTTCTTTGGTTGAACTAGTCACATTTCAATAGCCACCTGTGGTTAGTGGCCACCATGTTGGGCAGCTCAGCCCTGGGCAGTGGATTTTTAAAAGAAATGTCCTGAGGACTTTTCCTACCAGGACTGGAAACAGTTTTCTACTCCTATAGTATCGTCAGCGAGGGAATCAGAGCAGTTGGTGACATTCACCTATCTACCCCTACAGGTAAAATTCGAAGTCAGAGCCTCCCACCCTGTCTATGTAGTTTATGACTGGCAGTGAGAAGAACCTAAACCAAAGCAGGGGTATTTGCGTTCACTACCCTTTCTGAGGAAGGGAGTTTCATCAACGTTTGGCAATCTCTCTCTCGATGGAAGATTTCCATTCTTCCCAGTTGACAACTCCTTCAACCCTCCTTTCCCCAAGCTGTCATTCCCTGCCCAATCATCACCACCTGCAAGAGCTTCCCATACACAAGTCCCTTTTGGATCATCTCAGGGAAACCAAAGTATAGAACGCTACTTTTAAAGACAATGGAGAAACCATGCCTCTGTAGAAGAAGGGAAGAGTCCCCCATTTCTCCTCCCACAGGAACAAAGCCTTTGCATGCAGCAAGGTCTGCAGGCCAGGGAAGGAGGAAATGTTTGGGGACCTGTGGACAGTCCTCAGGCTCTCTTCTTCCTCTCTTGAGGACGTGATTCACTGAGCATGTGCTAGGGCAGCTGCCATCTTCTCCACCCGCCCTTGTTTGGATACCACATGAGCCCATCAGCACAGGACACTTACCCTGGGTCCTTCAGGGCCAGGCCAGCCGACAGGCCCAGGCATGCCAGGAACACCTGGGGGGCCAGGTCTACCCTTCAAGAACCAAGAACAAAAGTCAGAAAAAGTGGGCTCATGTTTCCTTCCTTCCGAGAATATCTGGGGTCCAGGAATGAAAATGGGGCCTCCAAACATGGCCCCCAGATTCTCAGCCTCGCCCTTTAAAGACAGAGGCCCTAAAATGTTGGAACTTAGGTGTAGGTTAAATCCTTGATGTCATAGAGTATCACCAAACAGGATTTTATTTTACCCAAGGAGTGGAGGATAGTGGGAAAGAAAGTCTGAATGTCTTTGCTTTCCAATCTCTGTCACCTCCACCTAACTACCCTAATGTCCCCTGCATTCCAGTGGGTTCTCTCCACAAGGATGGGCTGTGGGATGAGATAGCATTAGCATGGGGAGCAGCAGCAGAAGCTGTTGGTACTCAAATCTTAAGGTCTTTTTACCTGTTCAGAGTGCCCATCCCCCGTGGCTACACTTCTCACTAACAATTCATCTCTGCAACCTGCAACTGTGGAGTTTGCGCTTGGGCAATTGGAGCTGTCCCGTCATTTACATTGGCTCTTTCTGCAGCCAATGGTCCAGATCCCTTACCTCAAGGCAGGACCTACCATCAGGCAATCCATGCTCCAAAGCTTCCCTAGGAATCAGGCTACTGCGGCTGGACTTCACCTTATACTATATCTTTGCTCGCCTTCTCCCGCTCTCTCCCGTGTCTACCTCCTCCAGTGAGAACCCCCTTAATAATTTATTCACTTGTGCATGTGTCTGCTTCCAGGAAACCCAACCTAAACCAAGGACTACAAGAGTCAATAGGAGAATGGGCTCGGGGTCTATCTGGACCTCTGTACCCACTGGCTAATTGCACAGTTAGCGAGAGACCTGAAGGGTGCAGAAAAGCCAAAGGCTAGCATGTGCAGTGATTCCTACTCTTGCCTCCCACACCCAGGGCAGATATCATCAATCAACACGGCCCTTGTTCTCTCTTAGCAGGGAACCACTCCAGAACCCTGCTCAGCCCACTATGCTGTGGCTGGCGTTGTCATCTGTACCTTGCAAACATCTGTTTAAGGCTTCTGTTGACAGCAAAACCATTTGAATAAAACACTTCACCAGGAATAGAGTCATCTCTATTTAGAGCCCTGGGCATCTTTCTTGGCCAACATTTTACCCTTCTTTCATTCACGAGACCTGGGGTTTCAGTGCCAGTATCCACTGATCACAGCTAGTAAAATCTTCTGCTGCTTTGCTCCTCCTTGACACGCATGACAGCCTTGATAACCCACGTTGGGTTCACACAGAGGCACTGTGACCTTAAGCCAAAGAGCAAAAGCCATTTGTTTCTATCTTCTCAGTCATTTTATTCCAGTTTCATCAAATAGATAAGGTGGCCTGAACCTGAGGGCAATTTGGCCAGGCTTGTCAACCCCTGGAAGAAGTCTGAATGCCTGGCGGTGGCAGGCTCCAGCTCCTGACTGAGGACCAGGAGAATGAGCAAGGCTACTTGTCGTCATCAGGATGGCCACACCATCACTGTCCACCTGGGTCCTGGTGGCCACAGGAGTGTGTCACTGCTTCCCCGCCCCAGGAGTGCACACACACTCACACGCATGTGCAGCACAGTTGCCCGGATGGTGCTGACAAAACAGCAGCGTCCATACCTTCCTTCCTGGTCGGCCAAGCTCCCCCTGTGGATGGAGAAGACAGGTAAACAGAAGCAGCTCTGGGAGAGAGGTTCTGGCAGCAGAAGGCCAACTAGGGCAAATGACAACTGGTCATGGCAGTGTGGCTCAGCCTGTTGACCAGTCACTTGGCTGGTCACAGCATCCCTGTGGGGCTAGTGGGCCAAATCAGAATACACCAGTGTGCCCTGGCCCATTATCAGGGCTCGTCCTCACACACTCTAGGCAGAATGGTCTCAACTGGTAAAATCTCAGTGGCACCCCCCAGAAATCAAGCTGGAATTACCAAGGAGAGGTGGGTTGAAGAAAAGAGTGGCTCATACCTTTTCTCCCTTTGGTCCTGTCTTGCCAGGAAGTCCGGGTGGACCCTATACAATTAAGACAAGAATGAAGAAAAAATATACCCAACTAAGGCAGAGCTGCTGGGGAGGGAGGGGGAGAGGGAGGGAGGGGCTCCTACAGAAGCAGCCTTGATCTCTGTATGGATGTGCGGCTCCCAAGGCCCCTTTCTGCCCTGCAACCCCTTCCCCTCTCTATTCCTCCTCCTCCTTAACTTTCTTGGCACTGTTTTTCCAGCAATGCTAACCCATCCACACTCAGTGACTGTAATTTTTACCCTGGAGCCTTTTGATTGCCTGAAAACTCTTGAGAGCTTATTGAGAACAACTAAAGAGTTTGGCAGAAATCCTGGTAGCTGAAAACACGACCCTTTACCATCTCTCAGGTCTTTTCAGCTACTCACATCAAGCTTCTGGGGGGCCCTGACAAGAGGGAAGTTAAGTTTTATACCCAGCAGCAGCTGATTTAGACCACCCTGTGGTTGACCTGTGGGTACCAAGATCAACCTTCCCACCTGGAGCAGCAAAATTCTATTTTACTTTTTTTTTTTTGAGGGGGGATTGAACTCAGAGGTGCTTTTCCACTGAGCCACATCTCCAGCTCTTTTTATTTATTTTGAGACTGGGTCTCACTAAGTTGCCAAGGGGCATCACTAAGTTGCTGAGGCTAGCCTCAAATGTGCAATTCTCCTGCCTCAGTCTTCTGAGTTTAGGAGGATTACAGGTCTGTGCCACCATGCCTGGCAAAGGTGTTCTTTTTTAAAATGTGAAGAATGCGAGCAAGTAAACTCACATTTCTCTCCCCATGGTCAGCCACAGGAGTGAGGAGATTCCACCTCAGGGGCTTAGAACCCATTGCCCCAATGCTATGCACACCCACAACAAAATTGCAACTGCTTTCTGCTTACATGTCTGTGGGGTGCTCAGTCACTATTTTCTAAATTCCCCAGGACTACAGGAAACCCATCAAAATCCCTTGGGCTCCCGCAACATCCCTAGGATCTGCAGATGAACATGCACAAAGTAGAGACTGTTTGAAACAGGATTTCTCACCAGGCATGAGACCCTGTCTCTAAATAAAATATAAAAAGGGCTGGGATGTGGCTCAGTGGTTAATCATCCCCTGGATTCAATCCCTGGTAGAAAACAAAACAAAACAAACAAACAACAACAACAACAACAAAAAAAAAAAAAAACAGAAAAGGAAAGAAAAAGAAAAGAGAAATGGGATTTCCCTGAAACTTGTCAAAACCACCAAGAGCCTAGCCCCCTCAGCCAGTGTTTCCCAGATCTAGCAGCACATTCCAATCCCCTGGGGAATCTTAAAAAAAAAAAAAAATCCCAAAGCCCAGTTCACACACTGGACCAGTCAAATAATAATCTCAAAGGGGGAAAAAATATAAGCCTTAGGAATTTTCGAAGCTTCCCAGCTCAGAGAGTATGGAGAACCCAAGAGAACCTCACTGGGGCTGAGCTGGGTGTCTCTCTGTGATGGAGCCCCTCTCTGAGGCAGGCCAGAGGAGCAGGAATCTGAGAGAGGGTTTCTGGAGGGTAATCTTTTGTTTGTCTAGAAAATTCTTTCTCTAGCAGTTTGCCTGTACCTCACTTTCCCCACCACCCTTGGTAGCAATACCAGGGGCCCAAGGAAGCTCCTCTTATCCCCACTTTTCTGTACTAAATGCAGACACCTCTGGGTCCTCAGATGGGGCCAATAGTCACATGAGGCCCGTTATCATCAAGGGTTTGTCCAATGCTAACTAAATCATAGCCACATCCATATAGGCAGTATCTCTCTTGATCCCCCAAAATCCAGTAGGACAGAAGCAACTAAAAAACATCTTTTGGCTTGTTTATTTCTTTGTTGTCCTTCCTTCCTTCCTTTTTATTTTCCTCTCGCAGGGGCAATTATTATGATTATTATCTCCCTGGCATAGATGAGGAAATCACAGCTGGGAGCCGAGGATTCACCCAGGTGGCTCTGGAGTGGCAAGTAAGAAGAGAAAGAAAACTGATTTTCCACATCACATTAAAAGGGGCAGACACCATGAAACTCTACCCAGGGGGCTCCCCTGGGTTGGAACAGAACGCAGGAGGGAGGGGTCTGGTAGAACACCAACCTGGGGGCCGGGGGGTCCAGGGGAGCCGAGAGAGCCCTGCATGCATGGGGACTGTGTGGTCTCGAGTTCCAGGAGGAGATTCTTCATGTCTGGGGAGAGAAGCTTCAGTGCAAAGCAACACAGTGTTAGAAGTCGGACTCGGGGAACAGAGGAAGGGTCACCTCCCTGGACACAGCTCAGGTCCAAGACTGGCGATTCCCTGACATAGCAGTATGTATTCTGAGAAGATGACCTTTTGGGCCACCAGTTTCGATTCTCTCATCTGCTCTTGAGACCCACACGGCATGAATGGGTTACTGAGCTAGCAAGGCCACTTTGGATGGAGTTAGGAAGCTCATTTCAGGACTTTATCCCATGTCTAGGATAGGCATGTCTAAAAGAAATATAATGCAAAACAAATATCCAAAAGAAACATAATGAGAACTACATTGTAGTTTAAAATTTTTCTGGTAGCCACATTTTTACCTTTTGAAAAGGTAAAAACAAACAAGTGAAGATAATTTTATAATATGTTTAATTTAACCCAACAGACCCCAAATATTATCACTTCAGCATATATTCAGTATAAAAGTGACTAATGAGGCATTTTACAATCTTTTTTTTTTTTTCATATGAGGGCTTCACGCTCCTGTTTATCTGTTTATTTATTTCAACCAAGAATCCTCAGAATTTAATTGTATTATAGACTAAACATACCCAACAGGCATTCACAGAGCAGTTCATCCAACACATGTATATATTTTATTCTGTGCATACACAAACTCCTGTTTATGTTTAACATAAACAGCATATCTCAGTGTAAACATTGAAAGTGCTCAGTGGCTGTGATTTTGGACAGTATAGGTCTAGGAGATTCCAGAAAGATCTGAGTGTCTCAAGTCCCTAGAATGCCCTGGATGGATGTCTTCTAAGTCCTGAGTCCTGCTCCTTTCCTCTCTTCCCCAAATCTGTTCCCTCTCATCCCTCAGTGTGGCTACCGAAAGGCTCTTTCCTGTGTCACTCCATGAACATGGTCTGCCTATGACATGGGCTGTGGAAGGGAATTTATCATTTCTTTTCCTTTAATTGGCACATAATATTTGTACATGTTTATGATACACTATGATAATTCGATACCGTCTATAATGTGTAATGATCAAATCAGGGTAATTAGCGTTTCGGCCTCCTCAAACCTTTATCATTTCTACATGTTGGGAATTTTTTGGACTCTCCATTTCTAGTTATTTTGAAATATATCATAAATTGAGGTAGGCTGTAGTCACCCTACTGTGCTCTAGAACACGGGAAGTGTGTTTTGGTACCTGTTATCCACCCTCTTCCTATCCCCCTTCTATACCCTGCTCCCCCATTTTATCCAGATTCCCCCATTCCCTTTCTCCCCAGGGAATTTTATAAATGCTTGGGGAGAAGAAAAAGGTAAAGGGAGAATCCATATCTGGATAGCTGATGGGAACCCAGAAATTTATAAATACGCCCATTGTTTAAAAAAAAGATGGGACAAATTTTGCCAAATTCAACTCCCATGGGAGAAGACCCTCTCCAACATTGCTGATTTAAGACAGCAGGAGGACAAATACATTCCAGAAACTGCAAAGTGTCCATTCTAGGGTTCAAACTTAGAGTGAGAATAAAGGGTTGACCTATAGCAAGAGTCTGCAGGAAGCCCCTGTTGAGTGGGTGGGGTGCAGAGTGGGCATCCAGAAGCCTGGAATTCTTCACTCTCTCAAGCCCCATGTACTCACCGGACTTCGGCCCCCTCTGAAGAAGGGTGGTGGGAACAGTGGGGGCGGAGGGGGTGTCAGCAGGCAGCATGCTTTGTGGCTGCCACGTTTCTTCTGATCCAGGCCAGGAAGGGCTGTGTAGAGAAAACTGCTGCTCGTTAGCGTGAGTTCAGAGCTAGGCTCTCTGCCATGCCCAGCACACCCAAGGGAGACCCACGCGGCCACCCCAGACTTCCAAATCTAATTTCTAACCTGTTGGAGATGGGAGCAGAACTCCTGTCTGCTACTTGACAAGCCCTTGTATTGCTTTTGCTGAATTAAAATGGTGACCATTGTAAGATCCTTCTTCACAGGTTGGTAAATACCTAGGAGCGAAATTGCTGGGCTATAGTTCACGTCTATGTTCGGCTTTTAATAGAAAATAACAAGCGATTTTCCAAAGAGATTATACTAACTTACACTCCCACCAGCCAGTGGAGGACAGTTTCTCCTTCTACTGAGATTAACTTGTAGATTTTGTAGATGTGGCAAGGAATGCCAAGTTCGGATGGTAGTTGGGGAGTTGTGTCCCCAGTAATTGGGGAGAAGGAAGTGTTTTTAAAAACTTTGATACTAAGGGGGAAATCGTTCAGACAGGAAGGCAGCAAGGGCTGGAGGTAGGGTTAATTGATTTTAAGGTACTCAGACCCATGATTAAAATACAGACTCCAGGATGAACTCAACTTCTATATATAACTATAAAGATCTAATAAAAATAAAATAAAATTCAGACTCCACTTATATACAAGAATCACCCATTTCATAAAGAGTCATAGTATAGTGTCTCAATACTTGGGTGTCCTAAACCCAAGCGTGAGGACCTGTAGAGCTTGATTTTCAGGTGGGATCTTGCCAATGTTCCATCTCAGCACACATTCAGTGTTGAAGCATACTTTACGAAAAAAATGCAGATCAAAAGTTACAGCCCAGTAGATTTCTGTGAAGTGAACCGACTCTAGAAACCAGCACCCAGATCAAGAAATAGAACTCTCCAGGACCAGAAGCCCCTTACACTCCAATCTGTGTCCTCACCTACCACCATCCTGAATTCTAACACCAGGGATTCATCTTGCCCATTTAGACATTCTATATAAATGGAACCATACATTATGAATTCTTCTGATTGTCTTCTCTTGCTCAACCCAAGAGCCATCCAGACTGATCTTTGTCGTTATTACTGCTGAATGGAGTTCCATGTGGTTAGACCACAATTCACTCATCTATTGATGAGTGGGCAATGGTGGGCAATGGTGATGTTCATTGGGGTGATACCACTAGTACCCACCAGAATAGCTAAATGAAAATGGGAGAGACTACCAGGAAGCAAAGTCTGGCTGTCTGGCTTTGCTCTGGATTGGACAAAATGTTAGAAAGCAAGGGCTACTCTGACTGGGCATCTTAATTCTTTTTTTTTGAACCAGGATATTGAACCCAGGGGTGCTTAACCACCGAGCCACATCCCCAGCCCCTTTTAAATTTTTTTTATTTTGAGACAGGGTCTCACTAAGTTGCTCAGGGCCTTGTTAAGTTGCTGAGGCTGGCTTTGAACTTGCCATCCTCCTGCTTCAGTCTCCTGAGACACTGGGACTACAGGCATGTGCCATATTCTTATCTGGAAGAAGAGATGCCACAAATAAGGATGTTAAACAGCCAGAACTGTCATCCATTGGCTGGGGGGAGTGTAAGTTGGTACAACCTCTTCAGAAAATTGCTTGGTATTTTCTATTAAAGGTAAGCATACACATACGCTGTGGTCCCACAATTTCACTCCTAGCTATTTATCAACAGAAAGGTAGAGGGATTTTCATTAAAAAAACACAAGTAAATAGAAACAATATTCATAATTGCCAAAATAAATGATTTTGGGGTTCCTAGTTTTTTGGGGGGGTTATTTGTTTTGTTTTTTGTTTTGTACCAGGAATTGAAACCAGAGGAGCTCTATCACTGAGCTAAACCCCCAGCCCTTTTTATCTTTTATTTCGAGAAGTGGCCCAGGCTGACCTCAAACTTGCAATCCTCCCGCCTCAGCCTCTGGAGTTGCTGGGATTACAGGAGTGTGCCACCATAAGTGACTTTGTTCCCAGTTTTAGTCTTATAATGGGACCCCTACCTTTACCCCATAACAGAATCTCTGACATCGCAGAACGTTTGCAGGTTTCCCACTACATAGGCAGTTCTTACTCAGTTTTTAGTCTTATCACCAGGAAGCTTCTCTTCACTTCCCAGGCCAAGGTTGAGTGGCCCTGCTACCCTGCTATGTTTTTCTCGGGGTTTATGGTCATGTTAGTTCTTCCTCACAGATGAAACTGTTTCATTATATCTTATTGATTATTGTACTTTCCAGGAGGACAGGGGTCAATTTTCATCACCAGTCTCTAACACTGTACCTAGTAGACAGTAAGCGCTCCACAAAAGTTTGCTGAACTAATAACACAAACACACACATACACACCAGGGGCATCTAACTACGAAGCCACACCCCCCCTCACTCCTTTTTAATATACTTTGTTTTTAGATAGGGTCTCCCTGAATTGCTTAGAGCTTTTCTAAGTTTCTGAGGCTGGCTTTGAACCCACGATCCTCCTGTCTCAGCCTCCCAAACTGCTTGGATTATAGGCGTGCATCTCCGTGCCCATCTGAACTAATAATATTGATGACAAACACTACAAGGCAGTGTAGTTCTTGTGTATAAATTTACCTAATCCTCAAGACAAACCTGAGAGCTAACTGCTATTTTTATCTCCAAACTCATTTTACAGGTTTGTTAACCAAAGCAATGAGTTAAGCAATTTGCCCCGTCCTATAGCTAGTAAATGAACCAAACCAAACTACTGTGGGTCAAAATGAAGGTCAGGGACTGAGAGGGAGGCAAGGAGCTCCCTAACAACCCCTAGCGACTGTTGTATCAATGTTCTCCAGAGACCACTGAGAATATAACTAGTCCAACCAAGTTGGGTTGTCAGAGTCATTGCAACAGGATGTACACACAATCAGAGGACCCTGGAGGCATCTCAGTAAGGGAGTGTTAGAAAGAATTGATTCTAGGATTTGAGGTTTTGCTAGGTGATTTGGAGGGAGACCATGAGAAGCAAAGTCTGGCTTTGCTCAGGATTGAATGCTGTCAGGAAGCAAGGGCTACTCTGATCAAGCACCTGAATTCTCATCCAGAATAGAAGACTAATGGGTAAAAAGCAGCCATTATTCATATTCGCAAGGATGGGGAAACGCTCATTTTCGTGGCTGGATGACAGCCATGCTTTGTCTGTGTTTGGTTATGGTTTTCGGGTGCTCCTGTTTTCAGGCGGATCCCTCAAGGTCATGGAATGGTGCTGCCTGAGGTTGGTGCTCTGGGAATTTGTTCACATGCTGCAGGAGTCATATGGCAAGCTGTGAGCATTGGGTCTGTTTCAGCTGACACCGGCTGCTTTTCCCTAGTGGTGAGAGGTAAGTTCTTCTTTTTCTTTTGGTCCTGGGGACTGAACACAGGGGTACCTAACCACTGAGCCACATCTCCAGCTCTTTTTTATATTTTATTTAGAGATAGCATCTCACTGAGTTGCTTAGGGCCTTGCTACTTTGCTGAAGCTGGCTTTGAACCCACAAAACTCCTGCCTCAGCCTCCCAAGTCACTGGCATGAGGGTATGTGCCACCCCGACCGGCAGTAGGTTGTTCTTGACCTTGACATTGATGCCGGTTCTTTCCTAAAGTGTGAACTAACTAGGAGTGGGCAGCTTCAGTTGCCACCCTACCTGGGGCACACAGAGAAGGTGGCAGATGTATACCACCCCCCCGAAGGACCCCCAGCTACAGTTTCTCGGCAGTCTCTCTTTCGCCTCTGTAGATGGCTAAGGGCTGGGTAAGGCTTCAGCTTTCGGCAAAAATCTCTCCCGGCTAGGATCACCTGAGAACCTGGCAGTTCCCCAAAGCTAATTTGCACTCATTTATTTTTCCAGACCATATACGGCTTCCAGTGCCTTCCTTTCTTCCCCCAGGACCCTGTGTGGCTCCCATTGATGAAACATCTTGTATCATTTAAGGCAGTCACTTTGCTTCTCTGATTTCTTCCTGGAAACTGGAGACCTCTTCAGGGACCATAAATTATCAGTTGCTTTTCTTGCAAAGGCATCTGCTTTGCCCGTGCCCCCACTCCACCCCGCCCCCCGGAATCCCTCCTCCCTCTTTCCCCCTTGACCCACTTCATTTCCAGCAGGTGAAGGCCATTGATTCCTGCCCCTCCCCCAACTCCCTGGAGCTGTTTGTTTTTAGCCCAGTCTAGTTTATTTACAGCTCATTCCAGCTCAGAATATTTCCATCAGGTGGCCGTGTTTGGGAGCAGCTCTCCCCCTTCCCACCCTCCCCATCAGCTAAGCCAGGACTTCACATGTCTATTTTGGTGTCATCCAGTGGCCTGTGGATCTCTCTCAGGACTATTGCTGTCTCTATTGGAATCATGTCTGGAAAAGCCCCAGAAGCCTCTGTTGTAATGGAAACAATTGTGTGTGTATGTACAGGGGCCTGCAGAAAACCCGTGCCCCACGCGGCTCAGCTCCCGGCCAGCTGTCTTGAAAAAGCCAACTGTCACAGAATTTCAGGACTGTTGACCTCACTTAAAGACACCAAAGTCATATCACGCGTGGCCACTGCATTGCCAAATTATGGATAATTGTCTAATGCAGGCTTTTGGCAAGTGTTTGGGGGTTCCCCCCCACCATGGTTCATGCTGTTTTTGCCCTTTGGACTCAGTACTCAATCTCCTGTTTCATCTTGAGAAACTGAGGGAGATCCTTGCTACTTTGCTGAGTCTGGCTTTGAACCCACAAAACAACACAAGTTGGGTTGTCAGAGTCGGAAAGAGACTCACACCAACTTACTCTTGGAAATGTAGGGACTTGTGTCAAAGAGTGTGATCTGGGTACAAGCGGACGTGTGATATGGTGTAATTCCCGTCCTCAACCTGAGACTCAGTTTCCTGATCTGTACCACAAGGGATTTGATCCACCCCATCTCCAAGGTCCTTTTTAAAAATAAACACAATCCAGTCACAAGGGCAATTATTAAGAATGCAAGTAACAATAAATATTGGCTAGGATGTGGGGGAAAAGGATGCACTTAAACATTGCTGGTGGGGACTGCACATTAGTGCAACCACTCTGGAAAGCAGTGTGGAGATTCCTCAGAAAACTTGGAATGGAACCACCATTTGACTCAGTTATCCTACTCCTCAGTCTATACCCAAAGGACTCAAAATCAGCATACTACAGTGACGCAGCCACATCAATGTTTATAGCAGCACAATTCACAATAGCTAAGCTATGGAACCAAACTAGGTGTCCCTCAATAGATGAATGAATAAAGAAAATTTTACAGATACACAATGGAATATCACTCAGCCATAAAGAAGAATGACTTTATGACTTTGCTGGTGACTGGATGGAACTGGAGACTATCATAGTAAGTGAAAGAAGCCAATCTCCAAAAAACAAAGACTGAATGTTCTCTCTGATATGTGGATGCTAACACATAATAAGGGGGAAGGGGAAGAATAGAAGAATAGAAGCTCATGGGATTAGACAAAGGGGAATGAAGGGAAGGGAGGGGATTGGGAATAGGAAAGACAGTGGAACGAATGGGATGTGACTTTCCTGGGTTCATATATGAACACACGACCAGTGAAACTCCACATCACGTCCAACCACAAGAATGGGATCCTAACTAGAATAAGTTAGACTCCATGTATATAGAATACACTCTACTGTCATGTATATCTAAAAAGAACAAATGCAAGAAGCGACACGAGAAGTCATCCTGCATTAGCAGGTTGGGAAACATGGTGAGTGCAGCCACATGCTGAGATTCTGCCGCTGCTTGTCCAGTTGGTGGACTGTTGCACATTTTGCTTCCTTCTCCTCCTCCTGCTTTGGGGCCTTAACCTGCCTCCTGAGACTGGTGTTAGAAGGAGGCCTGGGGATGAATGAGAGATGGTGGGGGGCACCTGTGATACCCTCCACAGCATCACCTGGTGCCCCAATAGTTGTCTGGACATCTCAGCAACCAACAAGTTATCAGACTAACTGGCTACAGTCTGCCCAAAGTTTCCCATGATGTACATATTCCACAAAAGGCTGAACCCTAGAACTTTCCTTCATCCATCCTCCCCGCCCATGCACGCACCATACAAGCCTTAAAGCGCAAATCTCTTCCTAAAAGTAGAAATAATTTGAACTTCTCTGAAAGACCAGGGTAGAAGTTTGCTATTTGTGACTCACACCCAGAGTGGGCCCAGGGGACAGGTGGCGACACAACCTATGAAGAAAATGATTTGGTGTTTTGGTGGCTGCTGCTTCTAAGCCATGTTACCTAAACTAGCTGGCCTGGAGAGCGTCCTAGCCACCTTATGCCAGGGGACTCTGGACTGCAGAACACAATTTCATCTCAAAGCCGAGGGAACAGCAGCTACCAGCCTGCCACCCTGAAGTCAAGGTCACAAGAGGGGCACAAAAAATGGGCACGTATGTTGAGGTCCCCACCCACTCCTCTGCAACCCCCTTCACCCTGCATTCCCAACACTGGCTGAGAAGTTTAAAATTTTGAAGTCTTCTCAGAGATCCCAGGATAGGTCTGCTCTCCAGGGTTTTTTTTCCCCCCCAAACCATCGGAGCAGGCGCGTGCACACAGGACTCACCCAGGCTGCAAGATGAGTAGCACAGCAGTCCCGAAAGGGTGAGCAGATGAGCCAGGCTGAATGATGGGCGCGTCATGGTGGGGCAAGGCCCAAGGCAGACTGGCCCGGGGACGCGAACTGGAGACTGGCTGGGATTCGTCACGCCCCCAAGTGCTCCCTGAGCCTGGCCTGCTTGGCATTTGGGGTGGGAGCTGGCCAATCCCTGCTTTGATGTTGCTTCTGCCCCAGATGCCAGGGGTCCAGGGGCCAGGGATGGGTAGGCAGCCCTGCCCTGGACACCCAGCAATGCTCCTCTGGGGCAGGCTGGGAAGACACACTGGCCTCCGCCCAGGGGAGGACGGGATGTGAGGTTGGGAGCCCAGGGCACTGATCACCCCCGCAGGCTGAGAGGAAATGAAGTGCAATCCGTCAAACAGGCTGCTTTTCATTTGGCTCCAAAAAAGCCCCCATCAATACTGCCTCTGGCAAGACTCACAGCCAACCCCCAGTGGACAGTGTCCAAGGAGGCTCCGCCTTCCTGTTTCAGGGAAGACCTTGGTGGCCAAGGGGTCTCTCTATGTCTGTGCCAGGGTGCTGCCGACAAAGCCAAACTTAATTATCACAACAACAACAAAACACTCTCTCTCAGCCTCTCTATCTCCAAAGAGCATGAGGGCAAGCCTTTCCATTTCATTTCATTTATTTATTTTTGGCGCTGGGGATTGAACCAAGGGCCTTGTGCATGCTAAGCGTTCTACCGCTGAGCTACACCCCCAGCCCCAAATCTTTTTAGATGAAACCTGCTCTTAAAATAATAAAATGGCATGTGCCGGCTACATGCTGAAATCCACCTGAGGCTTTACAGGCATACCCAAAGCATGAGCACAAACACACGATATCCTAGGTCATAAAAGACAAGATTACTAGTACTTAGCAATAAGTACTGTTTTGTTTGTTTTTGGGTTTGGTACCAGGGATTGAACCCAGGGCACTTAACCACTGAGCCCCATCCCCAGCCTGTTCTATATTTTATTTAGACGCAGGATCTTGCTGAGTTGCTTAGGACCTCACTAAGTTGCTGAGGCTGGCTTTGAACTCATGATCCTCCTGCTTCAGCCTCCTGAGCTGCTGGGATTACAGGTGTATGCCACCGCACCTGGTAGCACTGTCGCACTCAGTATAGACCATAAATTATAACAAGAGTCAGCAAACTTTTGTTATAAAGGGACAGAGAGTAAATGTTTGAGGCTTTGTGGGTCACATGGTCTCCTTTGCAACTTAAGTTGCCATTATACATAAAAGCAGCCATAGATAGTATATAAAGGAATGAGTGTGACTGTGTTCCAATAAAACTTATAAAAATAAGGGGCAGACTGGATTTAGCCAGTAGGCTACAGTTTGCCCACGATATTTTTCATTCTATTTGTATGGAGTGAAAAAAGAGAAGTGGTTAACAGGAGTGGGGATGTCTGGAGGGATTTACAGGAGGAAGAGAGGAGTACCAGTTGAGGGCGAGGGGATATGAGTGAAAAAATAAGAGAAGACTTCCTGGAGGAGGTGGCATATAAGCTGAGTGAGCCTTGTAAGGAAAGATTTATAGGTACAAATATGGAGGGGGAAGAAGGCAAGCTCTGTTCCTTCTCTAGGGAATTTGCCTATGTTCTTCTCAGAAACAGGATCTAAGACACCAGAAGAAGCAGTAACAAGGACAGGGAATGCTCAGTCCTGAGCCAAGACACCTGCAGAAATATCATCTGCTTTACATTTTCCTGGTGTCCCCTGCTCTGGGTCACATCCCTACTGGTCATATTTCAAACTTCACATCAAGCCTTTGGAGTTGGAAGTTTTGCACTTTCCACATCAAAAGCATTCATATTTTTACTACGTGACACCTTACACAGCCAACCTACTCAGTAGTACTTGTGTCACTGAAGTGAAACCAAAGGCGACTGGACTAGCTGATGGCCGGGCTCCTGTTCAAGTCTGCAGGTGTTTGAACCTCTTTTTTTTTTTTTTTCATACCAGAGATTAAACCCAAGGGTACTTGACCACTGAGTCCCATCCCCATCCCTCTTTTTTTTTTTTAAAGAGAGAGAGAGAGAGAGGGAGGGAGGGAGAGAGAGAGAGAGAGAGAGAGAGAGAGAGAGAGAGAATTTTTAAATATTTATTTATTTTTTGGTTTTCGGCGGACACAACATCTTTGTATGTGGTGCTGAGGATCGAACCCGGGCCGCATGCATGGCAGGCAAGCGGGCTACCAATTGAGCCACATCCCCAGCCCCCCAGCCCTCTTTTATATTTTATTTAAAGACAGGGTCTCACTGAGTTGCTTAGGGCCTCGCTAAATTGGTGAGGCTGGCTTTGAACTCACGATCCTCCTGCCTCAGCCTCCCAAGTTGCTGGGATTACAGGCCTGGGTCACCGCGCCTGGCTGAACCTCCAGTTTGAACCTAATGACTCAAGCTCATGGGTGTCTCTTTCTGCCTCCCTCTCCTCCCCTCCTCTCTACTATGGCTGCTTTTTTTTTTTTTTTTGCTAACTCTTGTTCTCTAGGTTCTCTGTCTTCCCAGCACTAACAGTTGAATTTCCTTAGATCAAATGCCTGTGTGTATACTAGACCTTTCAGCTGCCTCTCAACCTAGGAGTCAGGAACCCTGTTCTCCAGCCCTGGCAGTAACTTGCATCCCTTTTGGGCCTCAAATTTTCCAGATGTCAACGGGGAGCAATGTGCACCACATGAGCTCTGTGCCCTTTCCAGCTTTGCTGCCATTCCTGACACATAATGGCCCTGCCTAAGGGTCCTCGATGCAATGGAGGATCTCTCCTCTTCGCCCTGCTGAGCAATCTTTGGCCTCCAGTTCCCTCAGGTGCCTTGGCCCAGGCACCAGCTTGCCACGGCAGAGCTGCCTACAAAATCTAATTCATATAAAAGTTTCTGGGCCTTCCTGCAGCTGTCAGCAGGTGTCATATTCACAGTATTTTGTCTTAATTGCAGGTCTGGGATTTATCAACCAGGCCAGAATACCACTTCTGGAATACTGCCTCCCTGGGCACTGCTCCAGAAACTTTGCCCCTGCTGCTGCCACTCGCCCTTCCCGGGCCAGCAGCTACCTCCACTCCAGTTGGCTGCAGATTGGGGCCAATGTGGATTCTGCTCTGCATCTTCCTCCTCTGGGCGTCCCATCACTACCCCTCAGAGAGATTTTGGGGGGCCTAGATAACACAGGCACCCTTCCCAGGGGTCCAGAGGCAAAGATGTCTGCCTATTTGAGGGCAGAGCCTGGGGTCTCAAATCTGTTGTCCCATCCTGAAACTTTGGTAGTCCCAGGAGTAGGTTTGAGGACCCAACTTCTCCCTGACAGCTATGAAAGACTCCCCTTGGCCAGACTTTAGCTGGGCTCCTCTACCCTCTGCTCGACTAGACCTTGAACTTGGACTTCTGTGTCCTCCCTGGCAGCATCCAATTATAGCAAGAATCCTGAAAAGTCAGCTTAGGGAGAATCCCCCATCCTTGACATCTAATCAAATTCTGAACCCAGGGGTGCTTAACCACTGATCCATATCCTCAGCCATCTTTTGTATTTTTATTTAGAGACAGGGTCTCCCTGAGTTGCTTAAGGCCTCACTAAGTTTCTGAGGCTGACTTTGAAGTCATGATCCTTCCGCCTCAGCCTCCTGAGTTGCTGAGATTACAGGCATGTGCCCTTGCACCCGGCTCCTTCCTCACCCTTGATATCTTACCACCTTGTTCTGACTTCGATAAGAATCCAATTAAGTTGGTTTAGACAGAATCCCCCTATACTTGATGTCTACTGTTGGTAATTTTCCACCCGTTCACCTAACCTGTTCCTTAGCTATAAATCTTTACTTGTCCTTGTACCAGGAGCTGACTTGTCCTAGTCTTTGAACCTGTGGCAGACACCTTGAATTTTTTCCTTACCATTTTAACAAGTGCCAGAATAATCTTCAACATTACCTCCACATTCAATGCTTTTGTTCCTTGGGAGGAACCCATAGCAGGTCCTACTTAAGCACACAAACATTTATTGAAGGCTTACTGTGTGCCAAGCCTTCCATATGCCACCAGAATATAGAGATGAAGAAGCTCATGGCCTGACCCTTGGAAGGAAAAGAGTTTTCATCTCATCTGCTCACTTGTGCTGATTGGTCTGAGTTTCCTGGAATGGTGCCTCATGAAGGATTCTGAGAAGAGGGCCATGATATATTGCCCTTCCTGTAACTCCTGCACTGCATGCTCCTTATCATGAAACAACAGTGACACTGGGCTTAGCATTTTCCATACATTATTGTTTTTTGTTCTCAGGACCAATTTATCTCTATTTTATGGAGAAGAAAATGACTCTCAAAGAAATCAAGTCCCTTGTCTGAACCACACAGCTAGTGCAGACATGGGGGCAGAGTTCAGAAGGAGCCTTGTACACAGACCAGTGAGGAGGTGCCCCCTCCTGGAGCCAACTTACCCAGCTCCTGGGGCAGCTCACTGGTCCCTGGCTAATAGCACTCTTCCCACTATTCTCATGCCACCTGGAGTCAGTTTCCCTCTGGTCCAGCCCTTCCCTGGCCAGCAGCTACCTCCACTCCTAACTCCCAGCTACTGACTTAACATCCCAAGACATCCTCAGTGTTGAGAATGTGCAAAGATGACTGACAGTTCCCCAAAAGGTGTGCACCGCCTTCCACAGGCTGGAGGAATCCCTGAGAAGTGGCTGTTTTTCGGTCCCCTGTGGGGGGATGATACAGAGGCATGTGACTATTCTTGCCAACAGTTCTGCCTGAGTGCAGAGGACTCAATCCTTCAGGGATGGTGGAGCCATGAGAGGGAAAGACCCTGAGTTCCCCAATGCCCCTGGACTGGTAGGTGAGCATAAATGTTTTGATTAGATTAAGTCATTAAAATCCTTATTTCCTGCAATAGGTGATATTGCCCCAACCCACCCTTGAGGCACCCAGTAATGGAGAACATTCTATGATGCTTCCTAGCCAATCCTTCTTTGTTCCCCACACAACCTCATAAGGCTTATCATCATCATCATCATCATCATCATCATCATTATCATCCTCATTTTCAGATAAGGCCATGGGCGATCATGGGATGCAGCTATGATCAAACCCACCCAATATGTATGACCTAGTAGGTAGTAGGTCAGGGTTCAATCCAGATTGAATGCAGTTAACAGCACAAAGTAATAACTCCTTCTATCTACCACCCCCTAGAAAGAATGAGCTGGAAACATCAGGAAAATGGCATCTAGAAGAACCAGAGTCATTGCCTCACCCAGCTGGGGTGGAGCCTTTACCAAGACCCACAATCATGTTTTTCTAATCAAACTTTATGATTA